GGCTATATATAATGCTAGTATACTTCGGAGTGTATGCTTCTATAGCCGCTTAGTGCCGCTAGTTAATTAGATTCCCGGACGCTACTATTCGTTTTCTCTGCCTTGTATAGTAACTAGTTATCGGAATAATCGTTCTAGGGAGAGTCTAAGTAATAGAGGGCGTTAACGTAAGAGGGCTGTCGTAGCTTCTCGAAGAGTGCTTACGCTCGATATATATTATCGCCCTACGTATCTATCCTTGCCGTATATATTATAGTGCTAATAGCTACGGTGTAATAAGTATAGTGCTAGTCTCGCTAGTCTCGCTAGTCTCGCTAGTAACTTCTCGCTAGTATTAGTAACTTCTCGGGTTTCGGAGGCGGTTCTTAGTGCCTAAGGCGGCCGTCGTTATCGTATTAGACACTTTTGTTAGCGCTATTTGCTAGAAATGCGCGTAATCGGCGTATCTCGCTGTATTAGTAATATGCTGTTATAAAAGTCGTAAAAGTCGTAAAGTCGGTGTTGTAAATGCGCGGAAGGAAGTAGCTATAACGTTTAATCCTACTAATTAAGCGCTCTACTATACTAAATCCGGGGTCTTAGCGGGACTCGGTATCCTTGTCGCTTCCTCGAATTTACGCTTCTCGCCTAGCTCTTATATACTATCGATATATACGACTATCGATACCTACGACTATCTATAAACCCTCGTCGCAAAGAATACAATAGAAAAGCCTACTTAGCGAGCTTATAAGGATACGATAGAAGAGCCTGCTTAGCGAGCTTACGAGGACATAATAGAAGAGCCTGCTTAGCGAGCTTACAAGGACATAATAGAAGGGTAGTAAGGAAGGACCTTATTAAATGCCAATTCTAGCGCTAATTCTAGCGCTAGCTCTCGCAGAAGCAGCTCAACTAGGCATCCTACATTATACGCTAGGCTAGCTCTCGCAGAAGCAGCTAAACTAGGCTAGCTCTCGCAGAAGCAGCTAAACTAGGCATCCTATATTACATACCGGCTCTCGTAGAAGCAACTTAACTAGGCATCCTATATTATACGCTAGCTCTTATAGAAGTAACGCGATCGAGCGTAGTGTTACGGCTTACTTTTCCGGGGATAGGATAAGGACTTAGCGAGCTTATAAGGACATAATAGAAGGGTAGTAAGGAAGGACCTTATTAAATGCCAATTCTAGCGCCATTTCTAGCGCCATTTCTAGCGCTATTTCTAGCGCCATTTCTAGCGCCATTTCTAGCGCTATTTCTAGCGCCATTCTAGTACTATTCTAGTGCTATTCTAGTGCTATTCTAGTGCTATTCTAGTGCTATTCTAGTGCCATTTCTAGCGCTATTCTACCGCTAATTGTAGCATTAACGCCTGCTAGGAGAGCTACCTTAAGAGCTTATTATACGTCGACCCGCTTCCGAGAGTCTACGCTTAGTACGTAATACGCGACCTCGCTCCTCGTTAGTACGAGAGACGGTGCTAAGAATCCGCTTAGCTCGAGTATATGCCTATTTAGCAGTCGGATCAATCTGTAGAGGTAGCTATCGCCGAGTACGTAGACTAAGACTACTAGATAAGCCTAGGCGCTCCTAGCCTCGAGTTCCTAATACCTAAGTATTACGGCTATAAAGGAGGTTAGCCTATACGCTAGCAGAGCCTATAATACCGCTTCTCAACTTATTTAGAGCAGTAGCGCGCTGCTATAGAGTAAAGGGCATTGTAGGTAGCAGTATAGTATCCGATAGACGTATATTTAGGGCGCTACGAGCCGCTTCTCGAGCAGCCTCTTCCTCGGCCTTCTTCTATCTATCTTCCTCGGCCCTCTTCCTCGCATTATAAATAGTACGCTACTTAGTTAACACCTCTAGACTAAGGCTTTTTAGAGTATCGATTAGCTAAAAGGTAGCGAATAGTTGCTCGTACTACTAAAGCTTCTCGAACTAGTCTATAAATACTAGCGCCTTCTACTTAAGGAGATCCTAATCGATAGTAATACTCTCGTTCTATTTATTAACTAAGTTAGCGGCAGTAAAGATATTAGCGATATTGGCTAGAATCGGATCGTCTATAACCTTAGTCGATAGAAGGTCGAATCGAATACGGCTTAACTAATCTAGATACTAAAGGGCAGGCCGCTTTAATATCTAATCCTTTAGTATACTAAATCTAATTGCTAGACGAGTGCCGGCTCTCGGAGCCTTGAATTTCGGGGGAGTAACACCCTCTAGAGGTATATCGATATAAAGAGCGTCTAGTTCTAGGTTACAGATGTTATAGCAATCTTCTACTACTAGTAGTTGCTAGGTATACACTGCCTTATCCTTACCGAGATAGCGAAGGACGACTTTGCGTAGATATATGCCGTATTGTTCGCGTAGATAGTTATTCTAGAACTCCCGCTAAATCCGAGGAATCTTGTCGCGAAGCTCTATCTCTTTCTTAGTCTAGTAGTTTCTATCGCTATTATTATTATTATTATTAGCGGCTTCTCGAGCACCTAGCGCATTAGTATCTTCTCCTAGAAGCTTAGACTAGCGGAGCCCTAATAGCCGGAATGCTCTATGCGATCTACGTCGGCGAGGCTTAATTGCCGGGTAGTTAGATTCTAGCCGCGGCTGCTTAAGACGATTATCGATATAGTATAGCAGGAAGATAAAGGCTAAACTACGTAGAATAGTACGACCGGTACGGCTAAGACGTTAGACAACATCCTCGATGTCGCGCGTAAGAGTAAACCTAGTCTAGCAAACAAGCTTAATGTCTAGTACATTTAGGCTAACACTAAAAGCAGTAGTAGCAACTATAATCCGGTATTCCGATAGCCTATCTAGATGCTCTATAGTCTTATAGAAGCGGTTGTACCGGCGCTTCTAGTCTCGCTTAGCGATACTACTAGTATAGAATATTACTATAGTATATACATTATTACATTAACACCTTTATTGTCCTATGTATATCGTTTCTTCTAGTCCCTATACTTAGCAGTCGTTGCGACTAGCTAATGCCGAATAACATTAGCTAGATCCTAGATATACTTACGACTATTAATAAATAAGAGGGCCTTCTTAATGTTTATCGGCGTAGCTTCCTTAGTCTCTAAGTCGAATGTACTATCGATAGCGAAATATAGGTACTCGTATAAGCGGAGCTAATTCTTTAGAATAGTACGTAGGATATACGTAGTATCTAGACGATCGATACTGCTACGAATAATCTTAGTCTAGAATAGCTAATTACTAACTAGACGAAATCTACTATATTTGAGTATAAAGTCCTCTGTATCCTCGGACATTGTCGCAGAACAGCCGAGCTAAACTGTGTTATTACGGAGCAACTTGCGTAGAGCGAAGATCTGTATATATTCCTTCCGAAAGTTACGCTACTTGTTAATAAGATAGACTTTATCGATTACTACGAGACCGATACGGGTACGAACCTTAGGGTCCTATAGTAGCTTCCTAAAGGCTAGACTAGCACCGGTTTCTAGACTTAGGATAATATAATAATATCTATTATTAGTAATATAGTCGTATAGCTTAGGATAGAGGCTTATAGTTTCGGAGGTAATATTAACAGCGTTAACGATGCTATCTCGCTCGATCGGCTAGCTATCTAACTAGCTATCTAACTAGCTATCTAACTATAGCTATTAATACCGGTTCTCGACGACCTTAGCCTACTCCTCGCTAAGGCGATTTAGCGGTGTAAACTAGAGGGTAATAAGGCTAGTTAAATACGTAAAGGCTATAAATACTAAGCTCTTGCCCTCGCCTATCTTCGAGATCTGTAGAACATCGCTACCGCCGAAGATTAGCGCGAAGACTAGATCGATCTAGACGTCCTTCGGCTAATATCCTTTTCCTAGATAAAGGCGATCTAATAGCTTAACAAGGCTAGCGGTAACGATATTACGGTAGATATTCTTAGCCTCTAGAGAAGCTACGGCATTATACACGAGTTGCTTAACTTAGTCCTACGATAATAGGTTATCGGCGGCGTTAATACGATCGCAACGGGTCTAGAACTATACTTTATAATCTCGCTTGTTCTTAGGCTACTAGACCGGTAGCAAGTGACTAAAATCTAGGCGCTCTCGAGTTATAGCGGCGCGACCTAGAAGTGCTATTAGAAAGTGCTACTCGGATTTATTCTACTATCTATTAGTCTTGCGCTTCTTAGCCCTATCCTTCTTCTCCCTATTGCGCTGCTTGCGAGTGCCCCTCGGAGGTAGCGCTATTGTCTATTTGTTAGTAGGTTGGTCGCGATAGGTTAGTCGCGGTAGGTTAGTTATAGTATACTATTAGTAGGCGACGGCGAGGTGCGATAGCGAGGTGCGATAAGGCAAATAGGTATCTAAAGGGCTCTCTAGACCCTTCGTCCGTTAGGCCTATTCGAGTCTAAGAACGTACTAGATAAAGGAATTACTACGAGTAAAGGTGCATATATGCTAGTAGTATAGTATAGCCCTTAGTAGCAAGATAAAGGCAAAGGGTTAAGAATACAGGTATTCTAAGAGTCGGAGGTACGAGCGGCGGTTAATCTAAGGGTCCGCTCGTAATTTACTTAGCGTTTCACATGCCGTTTATATATAAGTAATACAAAGGAGGGTAGAACAAACGTAGTTACTAGAAGACCTGTCTTAGAAGATCGTATCTATAGCTTTAATTTAATATTTTAACGTATACTTTATATAGCTATTTTAAAAGATCGTATTATTGCGTAGAACAGCTTTTTTAGGTTTGTCTATCTAATATATAGTTATGCTTCTATAAATTCGAATTCTCGTTTGTATACCGGACGGTTGTATAGGAGCTGTACGGTTTTCTTTTAGGCGCTTCGCTATAGGCTTAGTATAGACCGCTAAGCTAGATATATATTAGTGTACTTGGCGGAGAGATGATATAAGGACGTAGAGACAGAGTAGAAGGTAGAAGGTAGAAGGTAGAAGGTAGAAGGTGGAAGGTGCTAAATTTAGGTGGAAGGTCCATACAAGCCTACAAAGCGGGGCGCCTGAATGGAGGTAGCATGCGTGGTTGTTGATGATGATATTTCTGGGACTTTTACGTTTGTGAGAGCTCTGGAGGAACATGGGTACAGAATCTTGACGGAGGAGGAGGTTGGGAGGACTTGGTTGAATAGTGTTATTGAACGGAGGACGGTGTTTTGGTGGGGTGGGAATGGGGTTTCGACGGAGCATACGGTGAGTGAGTTGAGGGGGGTTATGTTATTTTCCCTACCGAGTTGTGGGATCTTTTGATTGTACAGGACGCGATCACGTTCACTCGTTATTTGATGCAGTTTTTTTTTTGTTTCGGAATGAAAGACGTTTGCTAAGCCTCCTACTAGGCCTATACAAATCTAAAACACAAAGGCCTTCGGGCTCCTGATAGCGGATCGATGCAAACCAACAGCAAGACCATCGCAGAGCAAATCGGCGCTCAAATCTTCATCGATGGCTGGGCAATGGTAGCACCTGGGAATCCTGCACTCGCAGCTCAACTAGCAGAAGCCGCCGCTCGCGTTAGTCACGATGGCGAAGCAGTTTACGCCGCGAAACTGTGGGCAGCAATGGAAGCTCAAGCCTTCATCTCTAGGGACATAATCGAGCTACTTGATCTCGGACTATCGTTTATCCCTACGGACTCTCTCGTTGCGAAATTAATCCACGATGTCAGGACCTGGTGCCGTAAGAATTCAGACTGGCTCGTTATTACTCGGCAGCGCATTGAGGATGAGTATGGAGACGAGGAATTCGGTGGCGTTTGCCATGTGATTCCAAATCATGGGGTGATGATCATGGCGCTGATATATGGGGGTCAGGATTTCAGCAAGGCTATGCTGCATATTGTTAATACCTGCGGTTGGGATACGGATTGTAATTCTGGGAATGTTGGGTGCTTGGTTGCTATTATGCATGGGATGGGGGCTTTTGATGGAGAGCATGATTGGCGTGGTCCAATTGCTGATCTCGCTCTTATATCTAGTGCGGATGGCGGATATGGCATTAATAATGCTGCGCGGATTGCGTACGATATTGCGGCTTCTGGATACAGGCTTGCTGGCGAGCAGCCTCCGTACAAGACTCCGATGGCACAGTATCAATTCGCTTTGCCTGGAAGCGTTCAAGGATTCCGAGCATGCCAGGCTTCTAAAGGAGATGTTACGGTCCGACAAATTACGAGGCATGAGCAAGGTGTGCTGGAGATTTGTATGAATTCTTTCTCCGAGCCTGTCTACATTTCAACGTAGGTGCACAAGATCGTCCTGGGATCCATACAGATCCTGACACCTTAGCAGGCCCACATTCATACCCGCGGAAGTCCTCAAGGTCAGTCGTACCTACGACATGGTGGCCTCGCCACTGCTCTATCCCGGGCAAATTCTGCGTGCGAAGCTATCTGTTCCTCAATCGAAAGATCTCAATTTCAATGTGGGATTCCGATTGATGGTCTACGACTCGAATGATCGACTTGTTGAGGTTGACAGCGATTCAACAGCCGCATTGTGTGCTGAAAGCAACCCGGCTGAGCTCTCCTGGAAAATTCCCTTCGAACTTATAAGCCTATTCAGCAAGTTGGAATTCTGGTCACACCACTCACTAGCTCGGTTAAGGACGTGAGTTGCCCTTCTCTCTCTTCGTCCCATTATTCTAGCTGACACATGTTCTGTTGCTCCCAAACATGCGCAACCGTCCATCTGCATTCCCTCTCATGGTCCGCCACTCCTCACCTAAAACTCAAGCGTCCAGCCATCTCAGACTCCTCCCCCTAAATATCCATGTGGCAGCGCTCATTCGCAAGCTCCGTCGACAAATTCTACACTTCACTGGGACCTTCATCATTCTACCTATCTCAAGATCAAGGTGAAGGACTCATCATACACGGAACCAGAGAATGGAAAGACTACGCGGTCAGCGTTCGAAAATTCGCAGTGCATCTCGGTCAACCCGCCGGCGTCGTTGTGCGAGTCCAAGGTCTGAGGAGATGGTATGCTTTGCTTTTCTTACCTGGAAAGGTCGCGATCGTGAAGGCAAGGGACGACGAGCGTGAGAACCTCGCAATTGCGAAATTCGATTGGCAGGTTGATTTCAAGTATGAAGTGCAAGTCTCCGTGGAGGGAGACGAGATCACTGGAAAAATTGGCGAAGTCGTGATCAGTGCCAAGGACGATGAGTATGGAGGCGGCGGTGGTGGTTTGATTGTTGCTGAAGGTGCACTTTCTGCTGATAGTATCGATGTTCAGCCAATTTGAAAGGGTCTGTCTCTACATCCATCCGTATGTTACACAATATTAGTGCAATCGATAGAGTCTCAGTTGAAAAGCACGCTCGAAACATGTTGACGTGACACTCAGTTGAAGCCTCCTGTTATCGCGATGACACTGAGCATGGAGTAATTTACAGCGGCATATTGATAAAAGCAGTCCCTGAGACGCTGGAGTCGACGCATCATGAGGGCGTTGGCGAGCTTCCCGGGCATGCTTTGCCACGGTCAATCACTGATCGATTTGAATCATCCAAGATCGCAGGTCATGTATACACGGGGATTATTGCTTCTGGAAATGCAAAAGTAAGTCTTCATACCGGAAATCATGTCAGTTACGATCAAGGTACGAGACCCGAAGTGCTACCAGTAAATTTGTTCTATACACTACTGACACATTTGCCAGGTGATTACTACTGTGATGTCGGTCTGCCGAACTGTCTGAGTATGGTGGATAATTTTTTGCGTCTGCGAGCCTGGAGTACTGTACTATTCACCGGTCTTAGCGTGATGCTTCATCAGGTTGCAATGAGACTGTGAGTCCTTTGCGATTTATATACAATCATCTGTGGCGCACCATCCGCCCTAGTCTTTATCGATACAATCTCAGCCTCTGGAGGCGTGGCAACCGTCTTAGCAACTCCATACGCCGACGACGCCGTCTCGTCTACCTTCAACGAGATAGCCGTCTCGTATCCGTACACGCTCAACGACGGAAGGCCTGATCTCCTCCTCGTCCTTGAGAACGCCTGCGCCGCAGTCCCAGTGCCGTCCATCTGTCTTGTCGTACACCTTTACGACGTCTTCGCCTGCTGCTGCGACGATTCTACGTGTATCGAATTGCATCGAGGTGATGGCATTGTCGAAAGCAAATGCGTCGTGGATGTTTCCTGTTCGGAGGTCCCATATCTGTTATCATGTTAGCAGAGCTCAAACAGGCCACCGTGATGGTACTCACCCTGACACTCCTATCTTGAGAAGCAGTCACCATATATACATCATCAAATTGCAGCGCGGTGACCGGGCCAGTGTGGCCCACAAGACTTCGATGGACCATGCCAGACCTTAAATCCCACAGCCGAACCATGCCATCTGCAGTACCACAGGCAAGAGCAGCATCAAAAACTTGGAGCGCGCCAATGAAATCTGCTTCTGCGTTCTGAAGTCTCCCACCGGTCGGCCTCCACCAGCCGCCTGATTCTTGCGACATGCCGTTTTGGGTAGAAGCTATGGTTGGATTGAGCGTCGCTGCTTGTGCGGCTGCCCACAAAACGTCCAGTGTCTGCACGCATCGGCCTTTCTCGAGGTCCCACTGCCGAAGTGTTTTGTCTGCAGAACCAGAGACAAGCGTTGTGCCTCTGAAGTTCAGGGCTGTTACTTCAGCAACATGAGCTTGCAATGTGAAGATGTGGCAGTCCTGCATCGCATTGCCGTGATACTCAGGCTGAGGCGCAGATCCAGAGTCTGAACCTGCAGGTGTGAAGAGGTCTTCGCCGGCATTTGAAGACTCCTCTTCCGCATCCTCAGGTATCGTAGGCTGGGCATTAATGCTAGTACCGGACGGCGGTGCTTGTGGGTTGTAATCTGCTTGAGACAAATCCCAAAGTCGTATACTGGCGTCCATGGATCCGGTGGCTACGACGTGTCCTTCGACCTGCAGGCAGCGAACGCTACTCAAATGACCTTCAAGCATACCCATACAACGTCCAGCATTCAAGTCCCAGACTCGAACGGTGTCGTCCAGAGCGGCACTGACCATGATCCCGAACGGTGCGTCAAAGTCCAATGCTGTGATGGTATCGTTGTGAGCAGGAATCTCGCGTATTCTGCTTCCAGGCTCCATATTTTCGTGTAAGATCGGCATCGATATTCTCCTTGACACCTTCTTTCGTGGGGTCTTCCTCGGGCTTTCCCGCTGTTTGGGCAGCTTTCCATATATGCTCTCCGACATGAATCCTGGGCTGTCTTCCGCTTTTTCGAGACCTTCATCGTGTTCCTGCACCTTCTCCATTGTCGCTGGGTCTGTTCTCGCAGCGAAAGCTTCCTCATCTGCCACTTCTTCTTGCATTATGTCTAGCCTGTCTGCCACCTCGGCTACTTCCTGCTCCAGGTCGCGCTCTTCATCCTCCAACCCTGCTAGTCTGTCGAGGATGACTTTGCGCATGGTATTCAGATTTGATATCTTGTGGTCGATTTCCTTGATCTCGCTCGCGCACATGGTCTTCCGTATCCCCATCATCTCTAGCCTGTGCTCCAATCGATCCTTCTCTCGCTTCAGATTCTTAAGCTTTGGCGGGCCTTTGATCTCTTCTTCCACCCCCTCTAAAAGCTTTTGCGACTTCGAGCCATGTCTGCCATGTTTCCGCTTCCTGGCCTTGCTGTCTGTGCCATCAGCATCGGGCAGACTCGCTCTGAAGCCATCGAGCAACGAGAATGGGCAATTGCTTTGCGGCACATTTCGCAAAAGTTCATCGGGCAGATATGTCAGCGCGCGATGCTCGATCTCGGCGGTGTTGAAGTTGCTGCGGATCAGCTCTCTCGGATTGGCTCTCGCGAAGCTGAAGACGCTGCGTTGGATGGCTGGTCGCTGGGAGAATCGGCGCACCGAAGACAGAGCAGTGTTGTGGGCGGCATCGTGGGTGGAGAAGTGGGAGCCGGTGATGAGCTGAGATGCTGTAGCGTGGACTGTACGGCCAAATGCCTCGAGCTGGCGCGTGTTCAGCAGCGAATCGTCCTCTGAGCTCTGCGCCATGAATGATGATCGCTTGCTTTTGCGCGGTGATGTGCTCCTTCCCCTACCCTCGGCCATTGAAGCATTCTTTGATCACCGCATCATGAAATCAATCAATATGTCCAGTGAAGGTTGCACAAGGCAGGCTTTGGTCGCGCGAATTGCTGGTTCTCGGTTCGATCACACGAGTGTTTCCAGCGAACTCGACCTGCCACGCCACATGACTTTCCAAGCTCGCTGCAGTGTCGTCAAATTAGCGATTGAATTCCAACACCAATATTTGATTCAAGTGCTCGGACCGCAACAAATGCCGATCCGAGCACAGAAACCTTTCTTTCCAGCCTTCCCACCACCTTGTGTACCTCCTCGATCTCGCATACTCGCCATGGACTCTGCAATCGACCTCTCCGACCCCCAAAAGGCATTGTCATTGGCACACATCCGCTACCAGCTCATCCGACTCGAAGATACAGTCATCTTTCACATGATCGAGCGCGCTCAATTCCCACTCAATTCGACCATTTACACGCCAGGAGCAATTCCACTGCCATCCTCCGAATTGTCCTTCTCAGACTGGGTATTACGAGAGCAAGAACGATTACAATCACGAATTCGGCGCTACCAGTCCCCCGACGAATACCCTTTCTTTCCAGATGCCATGGAAGAGATCATTCTTCCTCCACTCAAGTACCCAAAAGTGCTGTGGGAGAACGATGTCAACCTCAACACTGAACTCAAGCGACGCTATCAGGAGGAGATCTTGCAGGGCGTGTGTCCGTCAAGAACGGAGAAGAGCGAAGCACAGGAGAATTACGGCTCAGCAGCTACTGCAGATGTCAATTGCCTGCAGTCTCTCTCTCGCCGAATCCACTTTGGCAAGTTCGTTGCTGAGAGCAAGTTTCAGCAGGACCCTGACAAGTTTGTGAAGCTCATCAAAGCCGGCGACACTAAAGGCATAGATGAGGCAATCACGGATATGAGGGTCGAAAAGAAAGTGCTGGAGCGCCTGCGAGTGAAGGCGGAGATGTATGGCGGAGACCCCAACCTCGATGCCGATGCGCCCAAGAAGATTCCCGTGGACGCCGTGGTGGCCATGTACAAGGATCATGTCATCCCGCTCACCAAGACTGTCGAAGTCGACTATTTGATGCAACGACTGAAGGGTACCGAGTGGGAATGAGGCGGCAAAGACGTAGGTGTGGCCAGCTCTGCATCTTGCCTTATACGGCGTGGACCTCTGGGTTCATTTTGGCACATGGCAGTGTCACGTTGCATCTAGAAAATGATCTCCGCCTTGCTGAAACAGGCTGCCAACCACGGTAACGCAGCATAGATGACTAACCGGATTCTGAGCTCTCCTGGTAGCTCCCGACAAGATTCAAACCCACAAATCCACATGTGCGCCCTGGATATTTGTCCTCAGCAAAACAGGCTCTATAAGTATTTCTCGCACTATCGCTTCAGAACGACAGGAACAACGACAAATCCACCAACTTCGATCATGGCGCCAGAATCACTCCTGGATGAATTTATTCAGCTGGAATGGGTTGCCATGCATCCCATAGACCCATCGACGCCCGAAAGTGTGCTGCCACGCATTTTTAAGAAATTAGGACCCGTCAAAGAACAGCAGCGCTCGCCTCCTGGGGAACTGCGCGATCCAGCACAGCAATCGGCAAAATCACGTCAAACACCAAAAGCTCAAAATTGCAAAGACCTTATCACAGCCCTTCCAGCCGAGCTCCTGGAGCAAATTCTTTTGAACGTCGACATGTACACCGTCCTCCTCTCAGCCCAAAGTGTCTCAAGATTTTTCCGCGCCACGATTCAGAATTCAAAACTACTAAGACGACACCTCTGGCTCGAACCCCGAGAAGAATGCGAAAAGCCCACAACAATCCGCGGCTGCCACAAACACAAAATCTACGAAACCAAAGCGCCCTTACCCCCTCACGGATTTTGCCAAATGCTCAACTACCCAAGCGTCCGAATAAACCCCCTCCTCCATAAATTCCTAATCGAAAAACGACCCGGCTTCGAAAACTCCACAACCTCCTCATCCCCCATGCGAAAACTCAAGTCCTTAACTAAAGACCGCCATAACCGAGAAACCGAAGGCAATGAACCTTCCAACAAACCTCTACACATCCCGATAAAAGACCTGCACATCGTCTTCTCAACCGTAAAACAAATCTCAGAAATGCTCGAAAATGCAGACGCGAATCCAATTCCACAGATATGGCCGGATTTGCAGCTTTTGACCCCGAATCCTTTCAGAGAGGTGGAGGCGAAGATTGGGTATACGGCTTTTGAGAAGATGGAGTGTTCTTGGAATACGGAGGAGGGGAGGCTTGTGGGATGTGAGGAGGAGGACAAGTGGATAAGGAGAGTGCATTATATTAATGCCGGGAGATTTGAGGGGGTGGTTACGTTGAGGAAATTGATTGAGAGGGTGAAGGAGAGGCATAGGGATATTTATATGCAGATTTGAGTTGAGGGAGGATGTGATGTGGTTTGGAGAGCTTTGTTATACATACACCCACCAAGTAGTAGCATCCGCATTAAAAACTTCCACCTCCATCCTTCATGTTCCTCACCCCCATCCACCCCTTCAACCTCTCCCCCTCCACCCCCTCTAAAATTTTCTCCTTCAACCCCTCCACCACATCCCGTCTCCAATTTTCCTCCCTTCCAACCATATCCAACCACCCCAAAACCCCCATCCTCGTCCCCAAACTCCACCCTCCACCCTCCACACACGTAGCTCGAAACACCAACTCCAAAATCCTCTCTCTCACCTTAACCTTCCCTCTCCCCTCCACCGCCGCACCAGCAGGACTCATCCCCAAACCCAAAATCCTCTCGAAAACCTTCCCCCCATTCCCTCCTCTTCCGCCGAGAAAAAAACAATCCAGATCGTGTCTCGTTCTCAATCCATCAACAAACCACTCCAAAACCCATGCGATTTCTTTCCAGAAATGTCCCTCCTCCTCCTCCTCAGCATTTTCAGTTGAAGATGAAGATGTAACAAAATCCAACCAAAACCCCGCGAGTTTCCTCACCCTCCATTCCGGCCCTCTCATCAGGAATTTGTTGACTTTCGGGTATAAAAAATGCGTGGGGTTTGTGAGGACTTTTAAAGCGTGGGTTGCGAAAGTTGTAGCGAGGTAGGGGAGAGGGGTCGAAGAAGTGGAATTTGTGGGGTAGGTTTCGAGGAGTTCGCCGATGAGGAGGGAGATTTGGGTTGAGTTTTCGGATAGCGAAGAGGAAGAGGAAGAGGTTTTGAGGGTGTGGTGGAGTTTTGTGAGTTGGATGTGGGATTGAATTCGGAGGGAGGGGGAGGTTGGGGAGCTGAGGTTGAGGATTAGGGCGGTGATGTCGCCGTCGGTGATTGCTAGGTCGAGGTCTTTTTGGTGCCAGCGGGAGAGTTCGGGGTGGGTAGTTGTTTCTGGGGGTGGTGGGTTGAATGGGAGGGGTTGGGGATGTGATGTTTTGTCCTCGTCGCTGTGGTTGGTTGGGTCTTGTTGTATTTCAGACGGGAAGTGCACGCCTGCGAGAAGGCCTTGTATATCCTGCGATGAGGACTGAAGAAGCGATCCGAGGTCTTTGTTGATCTTCTTGACGACCTTGTCAAGAACGTCTCCATTATTTGATGTAAGCCGCAGCAGGTCGAGAAAAAGCTGGATCCAGGCTGCTTTTGGCTTGCTTTCGCTCTTGTCGCCCGCTTTGACAAATGAGGCTTGCTCTAGCACCACAGCCGACAACATGCTCGGAAGTGGAGCACCAGGAACCAGTTGCTCCAAGTCGTCAATGTACTTGACAGGCTTGCGGCTTCCTCGACCAAGTAAGTCGTCTAGAAAGTCCCACACAACACTTTCGTCTTCAAGATGTGTAGTGCTGGCGACAAGCGCAGTCGTTGCAGATGAAGTACTACCATCTTCGCCTGAGCTCACAAGTCCATTCTCAACCAGTACATGCTCGACTAGATGTCTCAACTGTTTATTTCTGGGGTCGAGACGATGTATGCGTAGCAAAGTAGTGATTGGAGAATAAGACAAGCCGCCTTGCTTATGGAACCACTTCATGCCCGTGCTGTACTGAGCGATATTGAGCAAATGCTGAAGCTCTAGGTTTCGAAGTCCAGATACTTCAGCCCCGGCGTCGGTGTCTGCTTTCTCGCTGCGTAGTAATGCAGTCGTGAGCGAGGATGATACATCGAATTGTTCTTCAGATGCCTGTGACGGCGTTATCACGTAGTATAGCTGGAGCAGTCTTGAGACCGCCTCACGCTGCATCGCGTGGTCATCATCGTCCGCTAGCTTTCGATAGACTTGGATGACATCTTTCATAGCGGGACACCTGTCCACAAATAGCTGTTTGAGTCGTTCAGCAGCTTCATCCCATAAAGCTCGGTTGTCCTCGGTCTTTGAATGAAGCTGTTGCAAAACTGTGCCCAACTTCTGAAACGCCACGACCAGGATGCGTACTGCAAAGAACGTGATCAGTTCGCTGCTTTGGTTTAGGCAGCGCGTTAAAATCTGTTGTGTGAATGGCCGCGGCAGTACGTTGTCGATGAGGATCCTGGTCTGAGGTGGCAAAGAGACGGGCTCTTCTCCTGCTGCAAATTCTGGTGGCACGGGCAGGTTCACGATCTCAAAAAGAAGTGATGCGTATGCTATCCACGTGTTCGACAGTTTCGGATCCAGCTGAATTATGCGATCGTTGAAGTAGGCAGCAACGAGTTCTGGAGCGGCCTGAAAGCAGGAGAGAAGTAGCTCGCGTTCTTGCAAATTGTTGTGAGCGCGCAATGTCAGGATCCAAGACAATAGTGTCGGATTGCGCACTTCTATCGCTCCAGGTCTGTCATAGAAGTCGATGCTTTCGAGACCTAAATCGATGCTGCCGTCTTGTGCTCTGCTATTAAGAGACGTGGTGCGAGGAGGATACCAGCCATTATGCCTGAGAATGCCGTATGAAGGAGTTGTGCACACCGCCTTCAACCATGCGAAGGCTTTAACGGAAGCGGGATGGTCCTCTGCGCTCCTTGTGGCAATTTCTGTGACTTTCTCCAGGTTCTGGGGCGTCAGTAAGGCTGCTTTCGCGGAGCGTACTACTTCTCCGTCCTTGAGAATGCTGTGTTCCACCGTAGCCAGAAGCTCGTTAACGAGGTCTGCCGGGTCGTCTCGGAGGAAGTGAAAGAGCGAGCTGCATAGTGGCCTGCTCTGCAATAGATCAATCTTATCCCTAGGAGGCAAGTATTTCATAAGAGCTATTATGTATCGGAGAGTCAGAGTGCGGATGGAAGGACGTCGCTTGGCATCTTCCTCGGAAAGATCCAGTTTGACCAGACCTAAGCAGCGCCGGATTGTGCTGAGATCGAAGCTCAGTTCCCGCTTTCGATATGTGCTAGCAGCCAAGACTCCACCGTCGAATGTGGCCACCTCTGTGATCAGTCGTAGGCTAGGTGAGATGAGGAAATCCTTGTGCTGCGGTGCATCCAGACATCGCTTGAGAATGCGCAGATGCTGGTGCTGTAGGACGGTGCGGCACAGGAGAATGCCATATTCTCGAAGTGCCAGTTCTCCGGACAATGTCTTCAGCAAAAGGGCGATTACCGCACTGACGGCGGAGGCCAAGCGGTCGTTGTTGTTCTGATTTGCGAATGACCAAGCCTGCCAGAGCTGGGCCAGAAGCGGTTGCTCTGCATTCTTGGCGTCGGCCGGTTTCTGAGAGTCGAGATATTCGCGAAGGATGGAGATTTGACGCGCGCGGCCTTCCTCGTCGCGATGGTACAGAATGGCCTCGAGGAAGTTCTTGAACGATGCGATGCCGTTGCGAAGCTGCGGGATGCCATCTTGGCGGAAGCTCAGGAATTGCTGGAGTTGTCGCGCATAGTGAATCTCTTCCACTATTGGTGCCTGACGTTCTGCCCGAACACGCTTTGGCGGTCTGTCGTCGCCGTCGCCATCGCCGCCGCCACCGCCCTCCTCCCACTCTCGTTTAGACATCCTGCCAACACAATGCTGCCGTCCTCCGTTGTTGAATTCGTGATGTGCAAGAAAAATCCTGGGTGGAAGTTGGGAACGAGCGCCTCGGCTGCACTTGCCTGCCAAAACTTCCGCCAAGAAAAATGCGATCCGTGCTTCGACTTCACTCCTCCTCCTTCACCTCTTCCCACGCTAAACAGTATTCACATGATATTCTCGGAGCTGACCGACCAAATGCGGATGTCTCGAAGTCCTAGTTATATAGTCTCTTCTACTAACTGCTACTGCGGAATAACAAATCGCCCTCCTAAATAAGCATTTATATAGATAGTATTAGCGGCGATATATATATATTATTATAGCTAAGAAATAAGTACTAGACGACTTTAGAAAGTCTTTCAATTCTATATACGTATACTATTTAGCTCTTACTAAAGTAAAGTAGTTAAGATTATATAAAACGCGGGCCGTAGTACTCCTTACGTAACTAACGCAACTTAACCGAGTATTTAAGATAACCTTCCTATAGCTCTTAATAAGAACTATAATTATATACTCGACTCCGTAGCGTCCGTACCTTGTAATAGTAGTAGCTCTACCTCGCAATAGTTATAATACGTTCTAACGCGCTACTACTCCTAGTAGTACTTCTAGCCCTCTTCTTAGCTATCGCCGCCTACCCTAAATCTACTCTATCTACTTTTAGCAATAATAGTATAGCTATTACCGAGATATCTATCTCGATCCGCCCTACCGACGATATTATCCTCTTCGCTTCTAAGATTAAAGTTAACCTCCGCCTAACGACCCTCTCTATTATCCTCTAGTCCTTTATAGCTAACTATGCCGCACCGATCGGAGTATCCGCCGATATCGAAGTACTTTAGAAATATAGAGTCTTAATAATCTTCGCTACCGCCGCTACCCTTTTAGCTTTCTTCCGCTCCTTCGATAAGCGCGAAAACGCCGCTATAGCTAAGTTTAACGCTAACTATATCTATTATTTCCCGGTAATCGATAGTAGCGATATACCGTTAAAGCAGCTTACCGCTGCGTATATTCTAGGTAGTCCTTAGATTAAAGCCCTAGAGTATAAGAATCCTAGTACTAAGGGCTACTTCGATATATACTATTCTAATTCTCTATATAAGAATAGTATTAGTATCGTCTACGCTCTCGAGACCCGTATAACCTCGAGCAGTACTAGCGCTAAGCGTTAGGAAGATAAAGGAGCTACTAGAACTAAGACTAACGGCTACGAAGTCTACGGTACGTTACGCGCTCCCTATCTAAATAATAGGATCCTAATAGGAAAATCTAGGTAAATACTTCTTCGTTAACGTCGATAAGAACGAGGAGATCGCTATAGGTTTCGACGGCGCGTTCCTAACTAACGTAAGCAAGTTTTTACCTCTATAGTTCTATATCTATATTAACTTCTACTTAGCTCCTCGACTCCGTTTCCGACGATACTAATTTTAATACCCTAGGAGCCTCTTACCTTAATCTTATTAACGACGCAAATAGTAAGGCTGCTACTTACGGCTACTTTACTTCGTCGGAGAACGAGAACTTTACCTCTTCCTATACTAAACAGTATTTATATAATATTCTCGGAGCTAACCGACTAAATACGGATGTCTCGAAGTCCTAGTTATATAGTCTCTTCTACTAACTACTACTACGGAATAACAAATCGCCCTCCTAATATTAGCTAGTAACCGGCCCTATACCTATAGGCTAGTTTTAAGCCTATATAAGAGGCCTCCTTCTATAGAGTAGATAGATTATTAACCTCGTATAGCATATTGTTTATATTATACTTCTATAATGCCTATATTGCAGGGCTCTAGTTATTAGCCTAAGCGACAGTCTCGTTATCCTATCTTACTAAACATAGCTGCCTATATTGCTATAGGTTATATTACCCTCGGTAGCCTATACTATTGCTATAAGTAGTAGTAGTAGTATTAGTTTCCGTCCTTTATTAGAGCCGAAGGTAGGGCTATCTCTTCATATCTAATAGGTTCGGGTATATTAAAGGTAGTCTCTAGGCACGAATAGCTATAACCGAAGCGAGGGCATAATAAGAGCCTACGATACGGACGATACCGAAGTATCTTAAGAGGCCGTTACGATAAGCAGAGAAACCTCTTAACGAGGGCATCGCTTTAACCCCGAAAAGCTGCAAACCCTTAGGACTATTATAGCTTAGGGCCTAGTCTATAACTATAGCTAGCTTCTAAGGACTCGGCTCTAGGTCGAAGACCTATTTAGTACCGCTTGCTCGAGATAAGCTACTGCCCGCCTAAGGAGGAAATAGACTAATTACCTATCGGCCTTACTTAGTTTACTAAGACTATCTATACGATAGCAATTTCTAGATTACAGGTCGGATGCCTAGACAGTTTTCCTATTAACCGGGTAGATTGTTTCGGGATTCGCTGCCTCGTTTAGATAGTACTTAGCCTTCTACTAGAAAAAGAAGGTCCCCGCCCCCCTATCTAGCTAAAGGAGATAACAATAGTTAGTAAAGTAGCTAGTTTCTAGGATCTAGGTATGAATAGAGATTGTAGTTCCTTCCTCCGAGCGGCTTTTATCTAAATTTACTAAATTGAAGCTCCTAGGGGTATCTAGGCGACCCCTAGGAGGCTAAACTCTAATACTACCCTAAGGGTAATATTAGAAGAAAACAGCCTAGCATACTATTTTCTCGCATAGCAACATCGAAACAAACCTACAATATATACTAAAAACACTTTCCTATAGCATTTTATTTTAACTACTTTATAACAATCGAATAAGCTCTAGCGAAAGCGAGTATTACGAGTTAGCGGAATCTTCGGAATCTAATAACCTACCGAACCCTATTAACGAAGAAATTAGGCGACGACTAGTTATTATAAGCGCCGTCGACCTAGGGGCTATCGAGCCTTCTATACCCGAGGCTCTCTATAATATCGTTATAAAGATAATTTAAGGGTAAACTAACTTTCTCCGTTAGAACAGGCGTCGCCCGCTAGAGCTAGGAAGTAGTAGAAACCCTTTATTCGAAGGGTAGAACGCTACGGCGTACGTAGAACGCTTTAAGGACAACTTAGCCGAGTATAGACTCGAAGAGGAGTCGGACTAGTACAAGGTCCGGTCCCTTACGAGGACTACTATTACTAAGCTTTACCGAACCCTTAGAACCCTAGTTAGCTACCTAGAAAAGGACGACAAGTCTAATACCGACTAGAAGGTCTTTAAGTAGGCCTTTATAAGGGAGTATCGGGACCGCGATAGCCGTCGTATTAAAGGTAGTCGTACGTAGCTTAAGAACCTCTATATAGAGAGGCGCACCGAAGATAACGACCTAAAGGAGTACGTCCGCGAGTTTGTTAAGTTAGCGGACGGCATCGACTAGTAGGACCTCGAGAATTCTTAGAGAACGAGGCTGCTCCTTAAAGGGTTACTATAGTCTACGGCTAAGCGTATCTTCCGTCGCTATAAGCTTAGCGAAGCCAATCCCGAGACCTTTAGGAAGTATAAAGAGGTCCTAGAGGCTATTAAGGACGACATTAATAGCTCCGCCGATATAAAGAAGTTCATTTATAGCGAGGACTAGAATAATCTAGCCTAGGTAAGGAACGATACCTCGGGAACTAGAGGGCCTAAGTTTCTTCCTAAATCGCAAAGTAGTCCTAGTACTATAACTCCTACTATTACTAAGCATTCTTAGGACGTTGCGGACTTAGCTAAATCCCTAGCCTAGCTCAACCTTAATACGAAAGTACTATAGCGAGTTAGGGAGGTCCTTAATGCTAGTATACTAAAGGATATACTACTAGTCTACTAGGTCTCCGATCCTAACTACTCTAAGGCCCCTTTAGTTAACGTCTACGCTATACGGAAGATCTATTCTAACTTAGATAGCAAGTGCTAGATATGCGGCGGTTTCAAATATATTTAATTAGACTGCCCTATCTAGAAGGAGCTTCTTAAGAGGAAGCTCGTTATATAAGTAAATAGTCGGTTCTACTATACCGATACCGGCGACAAGATTAACTTCGAGTAGGATCGTAGAGCCCCGAAGCTACCTTAACTTAGAAGTCTTCTAGAGAAGAAGTATAGTAGCAAGATCGAGTTTAAGGATACTAGGAATAGTACCCTCGCCGCTATTACTAAACGAGAAACTTAGAAGGTTAGGGCAAAACAGGTTAAGGAGCGGAGTAGTAATAGTACTACTAAGCCTATTAAAGTCAACTTTGTATCTTAGGACCCGGACGCAGTTACTAATGTTTACGCGGTTACTAAGAACAGTATAGATGTCTACGCTACTATAAGGTCTTAAACTTAGTCGTCCTAAACCTAGTCCTAGGGCAAGGGTAAGAGCCCGTAGAACCCTACCCGCCCTAGTGCGGCAGCCCCTACTAGGATACTTAAGAAGCAGGCAGCTAATAAGGCTAAGAAACAGCGAGAATTAGTCGCTAAGACTAAGACACTCTAGACAGCTAAAGACCGTGCAACGCGAGCTAGTATAGCTACTCCGGAGGTACTAGAAACTCTAGATATCGATATAGAGGATACTACTACCGACCTTAGTAGTACCCTAGGCCTAGCTAACCCGCCGGCCTATAAACGAAAGTTAGCCGACCTAAAGAGCTTTCGCTTTAATAGGTATATAAAGAAGTATAGTACCGGGCCTACTAACTCCTATAATATAAAGGCAAATGCTCTCTTCTAGGCTTTATAGTTCCTAGACCTTAAGTCTAACGTGTCTATAGGAGAGCTTCTAGTATATAGTATTAGCTAGTAACCGGCCCTATACACCTAGGCTGAGTTTTAAGCCTATATAAGAGGCCTCCTTCTACATTGTAGATAGAGCACTAACCTCGTATAGTATATTGTTTATATTACACTTCTATAATGCCTATATTGCAGGGCTCTAGTTATCAGCCTAAGCAACCGTCTTGTTATCCTATTATGCTAAACATAGCTGCCTATATTACTATAGGTTATATTACCCTCGGTAGCCTATACTATTACTGCTAGTAGTAGTAGTAGTTTTGGTTTCCGTCCTTTATTAGAGCCGAAGGTGGGGCTATCTCTTTATATCTAACAGGTTCGGGTATGTTAAAGGTAGTCTCTAGGCACGAATAGCTATAACTAAAGCGAGGGCACGATAAGAGCCTACGATACGGACGATACCGAAGTATCTTAAGGGGCTATTACGATAAGCAGAGAAACCTCTTAACGAGGGCATCGCTTTAACCCCGAAAAGCTACAAACCCTTAGGACTATTACAGCTTAGGGCCTAGTCTATAGCTATAGCTAGCTTCTAAGGACTCGGCTCTAGGTCGAAGACCTATTTAGTACCGCTTGCTCGAGATAAGCCCCGCCTAAGGAGGAGATAGACTAATTACCTATCGGCTTTGCTTAGTTTGCTAAGACTATCAATTAATAGCAAATACGGATTACAGGTCGGATAGCCGGGAAGTCCCCTATTAATCGGGTAGGGCGTTCCTAGATTCGCAGCCTCGCTTAGATAGTACTTAGCCTTCTACTAGAAAAAGAAGGCTACCGCCCCCCCGCCTAGCTAAAGGAGATACAAGCTAGTTTCTAGGATCTAGGTATAAATAGAGATTGCAGTCTCTCCCTCTAAGCGGCTTTTGTCTAAAATCTACTAAACTTAGCTCCTAGAGGTAGTTAGGCGACCCCTAGGAGGCTAAATCCTAATGCTACCCTAGGGGTAATACTAGGAGAAATAGCCTAATATACTACTCTCTCGTATAGTAATATTATAATAAACCAAACAGACTAAAGTTACTAAAAACACATTTATACAGCATTCTATTTCAACTTTATATAGCATTCTATTTCAACTATTTTAACTATTTTATAACAATCGAATAAGCTCTAGCTCTAGCGAAAACGAACATCGAGAATTAGCGGAATCCTCTAAATCCGAAAACGCCCTAGATCCTATTAACGAAGAAATTAGGCGGCGACTAGTTAACATAAGTAAGCCTCCTACGCCCTCTACGCTAGAGGCGCTCTATACTATCCTTATAAAAATAATAGAGAAGCAAACTAAGCTTCTCCGTTAAAACAAGCGTCGCCCGCTAGAGCTAGGGAGTAGGGCAAATCCCCTATTCGAAGAGTAGAACGCTATAGTACATATTAAGCGCTTTAAGGAAGGCTTAGTTAATTACGAGCTCGATAGAGAATCCGACTAGTACAAGATTCGGTCCTTTACGAGGACTACCTCCTCTAAGCTTTACCGAACCCTTAAAACCCTAGTTAGCTACCTAGAAAAGGACGACAAGTCTAATGCTAACTAGGAGACCTTTAAGATAGCCTTTATAAGGGAGTATCGGGAGCGCGATAGCCGTCGCATTAAAGGCAGTCGTACGTAGCTCGAGTCCCTCTACTTAGTAAGGCGTACTAAGGATAACGACCTAAAGGGGTATATCCGCGAGTTTGTCGAGTTAGTAGATAGTATCGAACAGAGTAATCTCGAAAACTCTTAGAGAACAAGGCTGCTCCTCTAGGGGTTGCCGTAGCCTATAGCTTAGCGTATCTTCCGTCGCTATAAGCTTAGCGAGTCCGATCCTAAGAGTTTTAGGAAATATAAAGAGGTCCTAGTGTATATTAAGGCCGACATTAATAGTATAGCCGATGCGAGGAAGTTTATCTACGGCGAAGACCGGAATAACCTAGCGCAGGTTAGGAAAGAAGCCTTAGTAAGTAAGGGACCTAAGTTCCTTCCTAAATCGTAAAGTAGTCCTAAGACCGTAACTCCTACTATTACTAAGTACTCTTAGGATGTCGCGGACTTAGCTGAATCCCTAGCCTAGCTAAACCTAAATGCGAAAGCATTATAGCGAGTTAGGGAGGTTATTAATGCTACTATACTAGGCGATATACTACTAGTCTACTAGGTTTCAGATCCTAACTACCCTAAAGCCCCTTTAGTAGATGTCTACGCTATACGGAAGATCTATTCTAACTTAGATAGCAAGTACTAGATGTGTAGCGGGTTCAAACATATCTAATCCTCCTGCCCTATCTAGAAAGAGCTTCTTAAAAGGAAGCTTATTATATAAGTAAATAGCCGATTCTACTATATAGACACCGGCGACAAGATTGATTTCGAATAGGATCGGAGAGCCCCGAAGCTGCCTTAGCTAAAGACCCTTCTAGAAAAGAAGTATAGCAGCAAGATCGAGTTTAAGGACACTAGGAACAGTACCCTCGCCGCTATTACTAAACAAGAAACTTAGAAGGTTAGGGCAAAACAGGTTAAGGAGCGAAGCAGTAACGGAACTACTAAGCCTATTAAAGTCAACTTTGTTTCTTAGGATCCGGACGTAGTTACTAATGTTTACGCGGTTACTAAGAACAGTATAGATATCTACGCTACTATACGGTCTTAGACCTAGTCCTAAAGCAAGGGTAAGAGCCCTTAGAACCCTACTCGCCCTAGTGCGGCAGCCCCTACTAGGGTACTAAAGAACAAGGCGGCCGACAAGGCTAAGCAATAGCGAGAGTTAACCGCTAAAACTAAGACTCTCTAGATAGCTATAGACCGCGCTACCCGATCTAGTACCGTACCTAGCACCGCCCCTAGCACCCTACCTATAGAAAGCCTAGTCGTCCTAGAGACTCTAGAGGTCGATATAGAGGATGTTACTACCGATATTAGTAGTACCCTAGGCCTAGCTAACCTACCTGCCTACAAACGGAAGTTATCCGACCTAAAGAGCTTTCGCTTTAATAGGTATATAAAAAAGTATAGTACTAGCCTAGCTAACTCCTTAGATACAAAGGCAAACGCTCTCTTCTAGGCTTTATAGTTCCTAGACCTTAAGTCTAATGTATCTATAGGAGAGCTGCTAGTATACGGTTTGCCTACTAACCTGTTCTAGAGCCGAATCCCTAACGATACTACCTTTATAAAAGACCTCGCTGCCCTCCGAAGGAAACAGGGACGAGAAGACTATATCGACGTCTCTTCCCTATAGTTCCTTCCTAAATTTTTAGGTATCTAAGAGTTAGTAGAAGGCGAATCGGTAACCTACGAGAACTAAGATACTATCGATAATGCTAACGAAGAGGGAGTTAAGGAGATAGGCCGAGGGGATAGTAATAATCCCGACCCTACTCTAGTTTTAGTCTCTATTAAGGCTGTCCGGTTTACTAGCTAACAAATCGGTCGAGCAGGACCTCCTCGACCTAAGGAACTTTATTCTATCTCTAATAATATAGACCTTTCCGCAGTTACCCGTTCCTTCGCTATCGTTCCCGCTATCTATATTTAAGTTACTATCGGGAGCTATAGTTAATAGATGCTAGCAATGCTTAATAATAGTTCGGAGTTACTTATTATAAGTAAGCGTTAGGCTAAACAACTTAGGCTGCTAATAAATAGAGACATTTCCCTAGGTATATAGGGAGTAAATAGAGAGGTTGCGCTAGTAGGTACTTGCTATAATATTATAGTAGACGCCTTCGGTATATGCTTTTCCTTTACCTTCTAGATCGCCGCCGACCTAAACACGCTAATTATTCTAGGTCGGCTATAGTCTCGCATAACTCGTAGTATCTAGCGCAACTGCGACGATAGTTCCTAAGAGGGAACTATTACTAACTAGAAGGGCAACCGAGTCGTGTTTACTAGTTATATCGGCAACACTAGCTATAAGTCCTACGAGGATATCCTTACTACTTCTAGACGGTCTTCGGGAAACGCTACGGCGCGGTTGTAAGACCGGCAATCTGCGCTATAAGTTAGTATAGCTTAAATAGGTCATTTCTAGAAGTGCGCCGCTCTATACGTTAAGGCAAGTTTCTAGGTTCTATACTAAGAAGACGAGTACTCGAAGCGATAGCGAGTATAATATAACGACTACCTATACCTGCTATACAAGTTAAGGTAATAATGCTATCTTATATATCGTCGCCGGAGGTATTACTACCGGACGCGGGTCTACCTAAACTAACTAATTAGAGCGCGAGTCTAATGCTACCCCGGGGGTGTTATTACGAATCTAACGTTTTCGCCGGCGTTATAAATTAGGACTACTAGCTGCATACCTATCGACTTAAGGAAACTTCTAAAGAAGTTTACGCGCTGTTTTGTTACGCTAATCTCTAAGCCTAGCGACAAAGAGAGCGGGCTCGGATTCGACAATCGATTAGTATATATACCCTATATAAGAGGGTAGCTAATAAGATTAAGCCTATAAAGGGTAGCGTACATATTACCGATAGGTCTAATTCTAGCGGGAATCCTAACTAGCGACAAAAGTGCCTTAATTAGGAGGCGACACTACTACCTAGAGATAGTCCGTACGATTAGAAGTATATTACTAAAAAGTTTTCTACTATCCCTAGGGGGTTAAGGCTAATAGAGGAGAGGCTTGCGAAAATCAAACCTAGTATCGAGCTTTCGGATCGTAAACTAGATTTGCTATACGAGCTTCTATACAATCGCGAGGCCGTGTTAGTATATGATTTCACTTACCTAGGTAGAATAAATCCGGAGGTTGCCCCTCCGTAGAAGATCCGAACGATCGAGTATAAGCCTTAGGCCTACCTAGGTTTTAAGCTAAACCTAAGCCTACGAGGTATAGTTAAGGACATAATACGACAGCGTATAAAGGCTAGCACCTTAGAACCTTCCTATGCCTCGTATCGCAATCTATACTTCCTAGTTTAAAAGAAGATAGCTCCTAGGGAACTAAAGAAGTACCGTCTAATTAACGCTATATAAAAGTTTAACGCAGTTACGATTAGAGATGGTAACCTTCCCCTAGAGACTAATAGGTTCTCGGAAGCTTTTGCTAACTGTGTTATAGCCTTACTAGTTAATGTTTTCTCGGGCTACGACTAGATCCCTCTCTATCCTAATAGCCGCGACCTTACTAGTTTCGAGATATCTCTTAGGCTATATAGACAAACTACCCTTCCCTAAGGGGTAACTAACTTAGTAGCCTAGTTCGTTCGTATTATAAACCAAGTCCTCGCGGCCTATATCTCCTATATAGCGATGCCTTTCCTCGACGATATCGGCATTAAGGGCCCTAAAACTAGGTACGATAATAAAGAAGTAGAGCCTAGCATCCGCAGGTTCTTTCTCGAACACATTTAGAACCTCGATAGTGTCCTCTACGACCTAGAGCGAGCTAACCTAACGGTGTATAGGGAGAAGCTTTAGCTCCTATATAAACGAATAAACATTATCGGGTTTGTAACTAATAAGAACGGCCGCTATCCTAATAATATACGGGTCCTAAAGATAGTGTCCTAGCCGGATCCTACCTATTAGAAGGATGTCCGAACCTAGCTTAGAGTAGTCTCCTACTTCCGCATCTAGGTCGAGAACTTTGCATTAGTATATAAGCCCTTATACGCCTTGCTTAAGAAGGATGCTAAATTCGAATAGACCTCCGTTTACTAAGCGGCTAAGGATATAGTAACTAAGGCGCTCGTTAGCGTACCTGCACTAATATCTATTAACTACTTAGAGGGTGCGGGTTTGATAATTGTTGCTATCGACTCGAGCGGGGAAGGCTATAGCGAGATACTAATATAGTGTAACCGTAAGGAGCTATCCTTGCGTTATCCTATTAGGTACGACTCCGGACTATAGAAACCGATCGAAGCCCGATACGATACTAGTAAGCGAGAATGCCTTAGGGTCTATAAGGCTCTAAAGAAGTTCCGGCTATAGCTCTTTAGTGTGTTCTTTCGTCTAGAAATCGATGCTTAGACGCTAGTCTATTAGCTTAACCGTATAGCCTCCGACCTGCCTAACTCTACGATAGCTCGGTAGGTTGCCTAGATCTATTTGTTTAACTTCGACGTCTTTTACGTTCCTAGGAAGAAGTATACTAGACCGGATAGCCTTTCTAGGAGGCCTACTATAGAAGAGGACATTGCCGAAATAATAGAAGAAGAAGATGTCGACGCGGTTATTAACCGCACCTTCTTCGCTACCTTCTATATCAATTCTATACTAGCGATCGCTAGGCCTGCTGCCGACGACTAACCTAGTAACTAACCTAGTAACTAGCTCGACGAGAACCCTACTACTAACGATAACGACTAGGCTAAAGCTAAGGCGGATAAACTAGAGAGGGATAATATCCTTAATAGGGTCTACTCCGACGACTCCTATTACATCGCCTACTTCCTAACCTATACGAAGAAAGCGCCTAGCCTATTAAAGAGTTAATACCGTCGGGTTATTCGCTATTCTCGACGATTCCTCGTTAAAGATCGAATCCTTTAGCGATAAGCAATAGTTAATGCACCTCTCTAGCGTATTATTAACGACCTAGTAGCCTAATAAGAGATCCTTCGTTCCGTTTACGATAAGCTCGGCTACCGAGCGGCGGAGGGTACCTTCGATATCCTTTGTCGGCGCTACTAGTAGGACAGCGTATAGGCTAATGTCTCCCGCTACTGCAAGAGCTATCCTAAGTGCAATTTTAGGAATAGCTACCGACGTCTAGGAGAACTGCGTATTCCTACTACCTAATTAGTCGGAGAGCGATAGTATAGCGATAGGGTCTATCTTAGTCGTAATAATAGCTTGTATATTATTCGGGAGGGTCTTTCTCGATAGCTAGAGGCCTATTATTTCTATAAGGGCTACGGCGCTATTAATGCTCGTAATATAGCTACCTTCCTGTTTAAAGATCTGTTTTGCCGCTAGGGAACACCTTACGAGATTATCTTAGACAACGCTACGAACAATATAGCTAAAGAAGTTTAAGCGCTACTTGTTTCGTATAGGGCGAAGAACGTTCGCATCTCCCCGTACTATCCCTAGTCGAATACTATTGTTAAACGTAGCTATCGGTCTTTAATTAATGCCCTATCTAAGATAACTAATAGAGGGGACAGGTCGGTTCCTATCTCTACCCGGGTCCTAGCCCTTCTCTAAGCGGATCGAACTACTATTATCGACACGACTAGACTTACGCTAGTAGAGCTTATAATTAGGAGGGACGCCGTTCTTCCTATTAAGTTGTCCTATCGCACGCATAGCGTTTACGATTAGGGGTCTGTTCGTACTAGAGCGGATCTCCTTGCCCTACGCGCTAAGGCTCTTAAGGATATAACTACTACTTCTTAGGAGGGACTTACTCGATAACGGCGCCTTCGTAAAGAGGCTAAGCAGTATTTTAATAACTATAATGCTATTAATTAGGAGCCTCTAAAGGTTAGCGATATAGTTCTCCTATACCGGTCCGAGTTAGAGTATAGTTACTCCTATAAGCTAGCCTTTAAATAGAAAGGGCCTTATAGAGTGTAGGAGGTCCTTTACGATAGTTCTACGTACCGACTCTAGGAACTTAATAGTGCTACCTTGAAGCACTCGTACCCCCGGGCTAACCTAAAAAAGATCGTCGAATTAAGAGAGCCTACCTACCCTCCCCCGACCGAGGAGGAAGTTAATGCCTCTATAGACCCTCTGCCGACCTTAGATGCCTATCGAGAGGAGGATCCTACCGCGATTATAGATCCTATTCTACCCGACAACTATACGTATCCCTAGATACATCTTAGTAAGCCATTAGGAATAACTTATAAACAAAGGGAGGGTTATATACGTATTAATTACGCGTAGAGCATTTCCGATATTAATTCCGATAGTAAACTAGACTTCTAGCTATTTAACTCTAACTCCGAGGAGGAGCTCGACTAGTCTAGCGACGAAGACCGCCTAGAATTATAGCTAGATCCCGAGACTAAATAATTGCTTGTCTTTCCCTGCCTCTACTACGTTATTTTCCTTGCCTTCTCCGCGCTATTAATGTAGTGCCGCCCTATAGCTTTAGTCCTTACTGCTTGTTCCTATAGTATTAATACTTATAGTTGTTGCCCTCTTTTGCCTTTACCTTATCTATTGTTTTTACTCTTTAGCCTTCGAGATGTTGCTATAACTTCATTCCTTTACTCTTGTTTCCTTAGATAGAACTATACGAGGCGCGTTTTCCTAATAATACCCCGGGGGTAGTATTAGGAAAATAGCCGAACCTAACCCTCTACCTCTAGGACTACTTCCCTCTAGCTTCCTAGACTCTAGCGACTACCCTTAGATATTACCTATAATAAGATACTCTACTAGAGGATGTTCCTACCCTAATTAGCACTAGTTACGTAGGATACTAAGAAAGGGAGGATCCCTCTCCCTTCCTAGCTCTTAGATAGACATAGTAACCTAGGCCGATAGCCTCTAAGAATAGGGACCTTAGGCTGTTAAGCTTAGCGTTTAGAAGAAGGAAGAAGGTAAATGTATAGACTACCTTTACGTGCTTGCTAATGTAAAAGGTAATGCTGCATCTACAGCGGTAGTGCTATAGGCTAATATATCGACGGATTAGCTATACTAGGCCTAGGCGACTTGCTCCCCGTTACCGAGTATCTCTAGAGAAAAGCTAATGCTATCCTAGGGGTATTATTAGTCCCGCTAGCTTCACTACTATAGATTTCTACTAAGGACTCGAACTAACTAGTTATATTTCGAGTGCGCGAGAATCTACGATAGCTAAAGGTTAATAAAAGCGCGTAGTCGCTACTAGCAATTAGCTAGATCGATTATTAAACTTTAGCCTGCCCTAATAACAAAGAAGTCTCGTATACAGTTTCACTTTTATATATAGCTGTTATCCGTTTGCTTTACTAGCGCGGAACATACGGACTACGTTACCTTCGTACTATATTTAAAGCGAGCTTCCTAAGCTCCTTCTTCTACTTAGTTACTAACTAACTCGCTACCGCCTAAAACCCCCCCTTCTATCTAAACCCTTTAATTATTATTGTTAAGCAACGAACACACTTTGCAAACTCGTTTCTAAACCGCCTCGGTCGACTATGTCTTCTGGCGCCCCGAATCCGCTAGGCGCTAGTAGTAGCAACGACCCCCCTACCCCTATTAACCTAAGCCTAGCCGCCCTAGTCCCGATCGAAGCCCTATCCGACAGCGCCTTAGCTGCTACAACTAGCCTCGAGTACTGCTTCTAGATCGTTACCGCCCTTAAAGACCCTTAAGAGAAGATCTAGAACGCTCGTACCCTGCTACGCGTTATTAATAGGAACATTAAGAAGGCTACTATCTTAGTTGCGTATAGTATAAACAACTTGCGTTAGTCTATCGGTAAGCGTATCTTTAAGCGCGAGGTTCTTAACGATATAGATATCGAATAAGCCTTTCCTATCGTCTATAGCCTCGAGACGGCCGGTACCTAGATTCGTTTGCGCTTTAAGACCCTCGACTAGGCCTTCGAACACTAGGGAGGACTAAGCAGTCTTCCTAAGAGCCTTATTAACTTCGCCTACGGTAGATAAGAGCGTGCTAAGCAGGTCTCTTCGTTCGTTAACAAGTATAAGGTCCGTCGTTAAGGCGCCGAGCATCTTTCCCGTACTATAATCTATCGTATATCTACCGCTAGTAAGAAGGTAGGCAAGTAGTTACTTAACTTGTCCTTTGCGCTTAACGACTTTACGACAGCCTACTAGAAGAAGCACTACGATACGATTGTCTAGGTCGATCTTAACGTATAGACAACTAAGGATCTACTAAAAGAGAAGGGCTATCGCATTAATAGTATAGGCTTTATTATTGAAGGTTAAGAGGCTCCTATCGTTAATGTCCTTAAACGTAAGGCCCTTCGCCTAGAAACTAAGGCCGATACGGCTACTAGTCTTGCGCTCGCTACAGAGATATAGGCTAAAGATCGTCGCTCGACCCGTAACCGTAAGGTTCCTTAAGAAGTTTAAGACGAGCGCGCTAAGGCCGAAGCAGCGCGTAAGAAGGTATTATATACTCGCTAGGCCCTCCGTAAGGCTACTAAGAAATATAGCGCTCCTTCTAGTACCGACTATAGTACTAACTATAGTACTAACTATAGTAACTCGGATATTAATATACTAGATACACTACTAGAAGATGTCTCCTCCGAAGGCTCCTTTAGCGAGCGTAGAAATAGAGGCCTCTCGCCGATCCTGTTAACTAAGAACATTTATAGTTCTTGCAAGGGCGACTCTATCGCGTACCTCATTACCGATATCGATATAGTTCCTAAAGCCGTAATAGGCGAAGCCCCTACCGCCCTCTCTATTTGTTAATAGCTCGACGACCTTAGCAAGCTAGGAGAAGAGCCGTTCTCTATATATACCAACTATATTAAGAAGGCCGCTAAGGTCTATAGTCTCTATACTAGTGCTAAGGCGAGTGTCCTCGTCGGTCGCCTATTAAAGATTAGTCGCGAGGTTCCTAATTAAGACGCCTTCGCTGCCCTTAAGGCTAATTAGGCCTATACTAACTAGTTTCCTAGACGCCCTATTGCCGCCCCGATATCTCTAGGACTCTACGCGTTCAACCCTACTAGTACTATTACTCGCGCCCTTACGCTAACAAATCGCTAGAGTAAGTTCGTTACTAGCATTCTTAGCTAAGGTACCTCCTTCGATCGCTTTCGCTAGACTAGCAATACTATCTTCCCTTAAGTCTTTAGTTAGTTATAAGAGCCTCGTAGAGTATATCTTCCTTTCCTTATCGACCTAATATAGGAAGAGTTTAAGATATACCTTTAGCATATGCGTAACATGCCTAAGTCTAAGCAAGAAGGCCGCAATGCCCTTTAAACTTATAGTGTAAGCAACTAAATCGTCCGCTAGTACCCTACCCTATAGCTCTTAGCTATCGCCCTTCGACCTAATTACGTATATAAGCTTATCTCCGTCCCTAAGCCTACTAAGTTCTTTAAGGTTAGCGGTACTTACGAAAACTGTCCTTCTAAGGAGTCTGCTCGTCTCGGACAAGATATAGTTAAGCTCGCAGCTAGCGAGGGTGCTAGTTACCTACGTATTAAGGTCTGTCTTATATCTAAGGATAAGACTAGCTGCTCTACTGTTGTCGAAGGCATATATTAGCCCGAGGTCTTTGCGAACTAGGTTAAGAAGCTTAAGGCTCGTAGCCTAGTCCTACTAAGCAAGATCGGTAAGCTTACTAATAAGTACCTTACCGACGACGACCTCGACTACATGTTCGATAGTTAGCCTAATAGTAAGGGGCGTAAAGCGGAGTAGATCCTCAACCCTCTAAAGGAGTGCGAGGTCTCTATTTAGATGCTATACCTGCTATATAGTAATCTAAAGACCGAGAGCAACCGTATATTAATTAACCTAGGCTACTCTCGCGTTATTAATAGCACTAAGGTTAAGGGTTACGAGAACTTAATAGTCTCTTAGGTTGCTAAAGCGTACCGCAATCTAACCGCCCTCCCGGCCTCTAACTCCTTCGTACTATTCGCTTTCCCTACGGCGATCTTAGTCGAAGGCCTCGGCTATATCTCCGACGCTCTAGTTAGTAGGATTCCTTAGTTAAGCTACGTTGTTTAGAACGAAGTTGAATAGATCCTCTAGCTTAATAACGAGGGACTTAAGGAATATCTATACAATTAGGAGAATACTACGACGGAAAAGGCTGCTAACCTCCTCGTTAATTAAGCTTTCTACGAGGGATAGTACTTCGGTACTAACAGCTTTAACGTATGCGGAGGAGATTTCGAGAGCCGACTAGCAGATAAGGTTATTGCTAGTAAGGATTACGGTACATTAAAGCAGCAGTAGGTTAGCGTAGTAGATTAGATACTTAGGAAGTTGTTTTTGTATATTAATAGAATCTAGGAACAATGCTACCCCGGGGGTATTATTACGGAGTCTCTAAAAGATAGCCTTAGCTAAGATGCCTAAGGTTACTATATAACTGTTTGTTTTAAGCGCACAATATAAAGCGTGTCTAGTTAGATACGAAGAAAGGGAGGGATATTAGCTAGTAACCGGCCCTATATACCTAGGCTAAGTTTTAAGCCTATATAAGAGGCCTCCTTCTATATTGTAGATAGAGCACTAACCTCGTATAGTATATTATTTATATTACACTTCTATAATGCCTATGTTACAGGGCTCTGGTTATTAGCCTAAGCAACCGTCTTGTTATCCTATTATGCTAAACATAGCTACCTATATTGCTATAGGTTATGTTACCCTCGGTAGCCTATACTATTACTGCTAGTAGTAGTAGTAGTTTTGGTTTCCGTCCTTTAATAGCTTGCCTACTAACCTATTCTAGAGCCGGATTCCTAACGATGCTACCTTTATAAAAGACCTTATAGCCCTCCGACGTAAATAGAGGCAAGAGGACTATATCGACGTCTCTTCCCTATAGTTCCTTCCTAAATTTTTAGGGGCCTAGGAGTTAGTAGAAGGCGAATTAGTAACCTACGAGAGCTAGGAGACTATCGATAATGCTAACGAAGAGGGGATTAAGGAGATAGGCCGAGAGGATAATAATAATGCCGACCCTGCTTTAGTTTTAGTTTCTATTAAGGCTATCCGATTTACTAGCTAATAAATCGGTCGAGTAGGACCTCCTCGACCTAAGGAGCTTTACTCTATCCCTAATAATATAGACTTTTCCGTAGTTACCCGTTCCTTTGCTGTCGTCCCTACTATCTATATTTAAGTTACTATCGGAAGCTATAGTTAGTAGTTGCTAGTAATGCTTAATAATAGTTTAGAGTTACTTATTATAAGTAAGCGCTAGGCTAAACAGCTCCGACTACTAATAAACAGAGATATTTCCCTTAGTATATAGGGAGTAAATAGGGAGGCTACGCTAGTAGGTGCCTACTATAATATTATAGTAGACGCTTTCGGCATATGCTTTTCCTTTACCTTCTAGATTACCGCGGACCCGAATACGCTAATTATTCTAGGTCGTCTATAGTCTCGTATAACCCGGGGTATCTAGCGCAACTGCGACGATAGCTCCTAGGAAGGAACTATCGCTAACTAGAAGGGCAACCGAGTCGTATTTACTAGTTATATCGGAAACACTAGCTATAAATCCTACGAGGATATCCTTGCTACTTCTAAACGCTCTTCGGGAAACGCTATAGCGCGGTTATAAGACCGGCAATCTACGCTATAAGTTAATATAGCTTAAATAGGTTATATCTAGAGGTGCGCCGCTCCGTACGATAAGGCTAGTTTCTAGGCTCTATACTAAGGAGACGAATACTCGAAGCGATAGCGAGCATAATAGTATAACGACTACCTAGTATACGAATCTCGGTAATAATGCTATCGTAGGCATCGCCGCCGGAAGCGGATCTACCCGAGCCCGAATCCGAACTAACTAATTAGAGCGCCGATCGAATAATACCCCGGGGGTGTTATTAGGAATCTAACGTTTTCGCCGGAATTATAAATTAGGATTACTAGCTATATACCTACCGACTTAAGGAGACTTCTAATAAAGTTTACGCGCTGTTCTATTGCGCTAATCTCCGGGCCTAACGTTAAAGAGAGAGGGCTCGGGTATTACGAGCGGTTAGTATATATACCCTATATAAGAGGGTAGCTAATAAGATTAAGCCCGTAAAAGGCAGCGTATATATAACTAATAGGTCTAATCCTAGCGGGAATCCTAACTAGCGATAAAAGTGCCTTAACCGCGAAGCGATATTAATACCTAGGGATAGTCTATACGACTAGAGGTATATTACTAAAAAGTTCTCCGCTATTCCTAGGGGATCGAGGCTAACGCCGGAGAGACTAGCGAACATTAAACCTAGTATCGAGCTTTCGGATCTTGAACTAGATTTGCTATACGAGCTTCTATACAACCGCGAAGCCGTATTAGTATATAACTTTACGCATCTAGGTAGGATTAACCCGGAGGTTGCCCCTCTATAGAGGATCCGAACGATCGAGTATAAGCCTTAGGCTTACCTAGGGTTTAAGCTAAACCTAAGCCTAAGAGGTATAGTTAAGAATATAATACGGTAGCGTATAAAGGCTAGTACCTTAGAGCCTTCCTATGCCTCGTATCGCAATCTATACTTCCTAGTTTAGAAGAAGACAGCTCCTAAGGAACTAAAGAAGTATCGGCTAATTAACGCTACCTAGAAGTTTAACGTAGTTACGATTAGAGATACTAATCTTCCTCCGGAAACTAATAGGTTCTTAGAAGCCTTTACTAACTGTATAGTAGCCTCGCTAGTTAATGTATTCTCGGGCTACGACTAGATACCTCTCTACCCTAATAGCCGGGACCTTACTAGTTTCGAGACACCTCTTAGGCTATATAGACAAACTACCCTTCCCTAAGAGGCAACTAACTCCGTAGCCTAGTTTGTTCGCATTATAAACTAAGTCCTCGCGGCCTATATCTCCTATATAGCAATGCCTTTCCTCGACGACATCGGTATTAAGGGCCCTAAAACTAGGTACGATAATAAAGAAGTAGAGCCTAGCATCTATAGGTTCTTTCTCGAATATATTTAGAACCTCGATAGTATCCTCTGCGACCTAGAGCGAGCTAACCTAACGGTATATAGGGAGAAGCTTTAGCTCCTATATAAGCGTATAAACATTGTCGGGTTTGTTACTAACGAGAAAGGCCGCTATCCTAATAATACGCGGGTCCTAAAGATTGTATCCTAGCCCGACCCTACCTATTAGAAAGATGTCCGGATCTAGCTTAGAGTAGTCTCCTACTTCCGTATCTAGGTCGAAAACTTTGCGTTAGTATATAAGCCTCTATACGCTTTACTTAAGAAGGATGCAGAGTTTAAATAGACCTCCGTTTACTAAGCCGCTAAGGATAAGGTTACTAAGGCAGTTATTAGCGCGCCTACGCTTACCTCTATTAACTACTCGGAAGGCGTAGGTCTACTAATTATTGCTATCGACTCGAGCGGGGAAGGCTACGGCGAGATACTAATATAGTGCGATCGTAAGAAGCCCTCCTTACGTTACCCTATCCGGTACGAGTCCGGTCTATAGAAACCTATCGAGGCCCGATATAATGCTAGCAAGCGAGAGTGCCTTAGTGTCTACAAAGCTCTTAAGAAGTTCCGTTCTTAGCTCTTTAGAGTATTCTTTCGCCTAGAAGTCGACCCCTAGACGCTAGTCTATTAACTTAACTATATAGCCTCCGACCTGCCTAACTCTACGATAGCTCGGTAGGTTGCCTAGATCTATTTGTTTAATTTCGACGTCTTCTATGTTCCTAGTAAGAAGCATACTAGACCGGATAGCCTTTCTAGAAGGCCTACTATAGAAGAGGACATCGCCGAGATAATAGAAGAGGAGGATATCGACGCGGTTATTAACCGTACCTTCTTTACTATCTTCTATATTAATGCTATACTAGTAATTACTAGGTCTACTGCTAACGACTAACCTAGTAACTAGCCTAACGAAGACTATACTACTAACGGCGAGGACTAGGACGATACTAAGGCGAGCGAAGTAGGTAGAGATAATATCCTTAATAGGGTCTACTCCGACGACTCCTATAATATCGCCTACTTCCTTACCTATACGAAGAGAGCTCCTAGTCTATTAAGGAGTTAATACCGTCGTATTACTCGCTATTCTCGGAGGTTCCTTATTAAGGATCGCATCCTTTAGCGATAGGCTATAATTAATATACCGCTCTAGCGTATTATTAACGATCTAGTAGCCCGATAAGAAATCCTTCGCTTTGTTTACGATAAGCTCGGCTACCGGGCGGCGGAGGGTACCTTCGATGTCCTTCGTCGGCGCTACTAGTAGGACGGCGTATAGGCTAATGTCTCTCGCTACTATAAGAGCTGTCCTAAGTGCAACTTTAGGAACAGCTACCGGCGTCTAGGAGAGCTACGTATCCCTACTACCTAGTTAGTTAGGGAGCGGTAGTATAGCGATAGGGTCTATCTTAGCCGCAATAATAGCCTATATATTATTCGAGAGAGTCTTTCTCGATAGCCGGAGGCCTATTATTTCTATAAGGGTTACGGTGCTATTAATGCCCGTAATATAGCTACCTTCCTGTTTAAGGATCTGTTTTGCCGCTAGGGAACACCTTACGAGGTTATCTTAGACAACGCTACGAACAATATAGCTAAGGAGGTTTAAGCGCTACTTGTTTCGTATAGGGCGAAGAACGTTCGCATCTCCCTATACTATCCCTAGTCGAATACTATTATTAAGCGCAGCTATCGGTCGTTAATTGATGCCCTATCTAAGATAACTAATAGTAGCGACAGATTAGTTCCTATTTCTACCCGCGTCCTAGCCCTTCTCTAAGCAGACCGAACTACTATTATCGATACGACTAGACTTATACTAGCGGAACTTATAATTAGGAGGGACGCCGTTCTTCCTATTAAATTGTCCTATCGCACGTACGGCGTTTACGATTAGGGGTCTATTCGTACTAGGGTAGATCTTCTTACCCTACGGGCTAAGGCTCTTAAGGATATAACTACGACTTCTTAAGAGGGTCTTACTCGACAACGTCGGCTTTAAGAAGAGGCTAAGCAGTATTTTAATAACTATAATGCTATTAATTGGGAACCTCTAAAGGTTAGCGATATAGTCCTTCTATACCGGTCCGAATTAGAGTATAGTTACTCCTATAAGCTAGCCTTTAAGTAGAAGGGTCCTTATAGAGTAAAGGAGGTCCTTTACTCGGGTTCCGTATACCTTCTTTAGGAGCTAGATAGTACTACCTTAAAGCACACTTACCCTCGGGCTAATCTAAAGAAGATCGTTAAGTTACAAGAACCTACCCGCCCTCCGCCGACCGAGGAGGAAGTTAGTGCCTCTATAGACCCTCTGCCGTCCTTAGATACCTATCGGAAGGAGGATCCTACCGCTATTATAGATCCGGTTCTGCCTAAGGACTATGCCTATCCCTAGATTCGTCTTAGTAAGCTATTAGGAATACTAGTAACTTAAGAATAGAGGGAGGGTTATATACGGGTTAACTATATATAGAGCATTTCCGATATTAATTCCGATAGTAAACTAGACTTCTAGCTATCTAACTCTAACTCCGAGGAACCTAACTAGTCTAGCGATAAAGACCGCCTAGAATTATAGCTAGACGACCCCGAGACTAAATAATCGTATATCCTTTCCTGCCTCTACTACGTTACTTTCCTTGCCTCTATTAACTATTCTCCGCGCTATTAATGTAGTGCCGCCCTATAGCTTTAGTCCTTACTACCTATTCCTACTAATATTAATGCTCTTAGTTATTACCCTCTTTTACTTTTACCTTGTCGGTTGTTTTGCTCTTTTGCCTTCGATTAATATTGTTATAGCTTTACTCTTTTTTGTTTTTCCTTAGAAAGAACTATACGAGGAATAACTTCCGAATAACACCCTAGGGGTAGCATTCGGAAGCTAGCCGAACCTAACCTCCCGCCCTTCTAGGACTACTTCCCTCTAGTTTCCTAGTCTCTAGCAACCGCCCTTAGGTAGTAACGATAACAAGATACTCCGCTAGAGAAGATTGTTCCTACCCTAATTAGTATTAGTTACGTAGGACACTAAGAAAGAGAGGATCCCTCTCCCTTCCTAGCTCTTAGATAGACGTAGCAACCTAGGCCTATAGCCTCTAAGAATAGGGACCTTAGGCCGCTAAGCTTAGTATCTAGAAGAAAGAAGAACGCACGGGCTACGTTTATATACCTGCTACTATAAAAGGTGATGCTGTATCTATAACGATAGTGCTATAGGCTAATATAAACTGCGCTAGGCCTAGGCGATTTGCTCCTAGTTGCCGAGCATCTCTAGAGAAAAGCTAATACTACCTTAGAGATATTATTAGTCCCGCCGGCCTTACTACTATAGATTACTACTAGGTACTCGAACTAACTAGTTATATTTCGAGTACGCGAGAATCTACGAAAGCTAGAGGTTAATAAAGGCGCGTAGTCGTTACTAGTAATTAGCTAGATCGATTGTTAAACTTTAGTCTGCCCTACTAATAAAGGAGTCTCGTATATAGCTTTACTTTTTAGGGTCTATATATAATCGTTATCCGTTTGCTTTACCGGAATATACGGACTACGCTACCTTCGTACTCTATTTAAGGCGAGCCTTCTAAGCTCTTTCTTCTACTCGAATACTAACTAACTTACTACCGCCTACCCCCCCCCCCCCCCCTTCTTCTATCTAAACCCTTTAATTATTATTAACAAGCTACGAACGTTTTTGCAAACTCGTTACTAACTCCTTTCTACTCCGGTCGACTAAGATGTCTTCCGGCGCCCTAAATCCGCTAGGCGCTAGTAGTAGCAGTAACTTACGAGCCCTAAACCTAGGCGCGCTAGTCCTAATCGAAGCCCCCTCCGATAGCGCCTTAGTCGCTATAACTAGCCTCGAGTACTGTTTCTAGATCGTTACCGCTATCGACGACCCCTAAAAGAAGATTAAGACCGGTAAAATGTCTAGAAAAGTGATCGATCGAAACATTAAGAAGGCTTTTATCTAGAAGGTTTACGGCTTAGTAATATATGACAAAAATGTTCTATTTTTAGTATAGTACTAGGCAAAAGTCTAACTTTTATAAGTTACCTATTTATCGTTCTAGGATAGCTTAGGATCGCTCGCGATCGCTCGGGATCGCTTAGGATCGCTCGCGATCGCTCGGGATCGCTCGCGATCGCTAGGATCGATAGGATCGATAGGATCGGTAAAAAAGTTTCCGTAACGAAGAGCGTGCTAAGCAGGTTGCGTCGTTCGTTAATAAGTATCCGGTCCGTCGTAAGGGAGTAGAGCACCTTTCCCGTACTATAATCTATCGAGTCTCTACTACTAGTAAGAAGCACGGTAAGCAATTAGTTAACTTAACCTTCGTACTTAACGACTTTACGATAGCCTACTAGAAGCGGTATAAGGATGCTATTACCGAGGTAGATCTTAACGCCTAGTCTACTAAAGATCTGCTAAAAGAGAAGGGCTATCGTATTAATAGTATAGGCTTTATTATTAAGGGTTAAGAGGCTCCTATCGTAGATGTTCTCGAACGTAAGGTCCTTCGCCTTAAGACGGAAGCCGATACGGCTACTAGTCTAGCGCTCGCTATAGAGATATAGGTATAAGATCGCCGCTCGACCCGTAACCGTAAGGTCCCTTAAGAAGTTTAAGATAAGCGCGCTAAAGTAGAAGCAGCGCGTTAGAAGGCGTTGTAGGCTCGCTAGGCATTCTAGAAGGCCGCTAAGAAGTCTACTATAGCTTCTAGTACTAACTATAGTAACTCGGATATTAACATACTAGATACGCTACTAGAAGATAGTATTTCCTCCGAGGGTTCCTTTAGTAAGCGTAGGTATAGAGGCCTCTCGCCGATACTGTTAACTAAGAACATCTATAGTTCCTATAAGGGTAACTCTATCGCATATCTTATTACCGAGATCGATATAGTTTATAAGGCCGATATATGCAAAGCATCTATCGCCCTATCTATTTGTTAGTAGTACGACGACCTTAGTAAGCTAGGCGAAGATCCGTTTACTATATATGCTAGCTATGTTAAGAAGGCCGCTAAGGCGTATAGTCTCTATACTAGTGCTAAGACGAGTGTCCTTATTAGCCGCCTATTAAAGATTAGACGTAATATCGCTAATTAAGATGCCTTCGCTGCCTTTAAGGCTAATTAGGCCTATACTAACTAGTTTCCTAGACGCCCTATTGCCGCCCTAATATCTCTAGGACTCTACGCGTTTAACCCTACTAGTACTATTACTCGCGCCCTTACGCTAACAGATCGCTAGAGCAAGTTCGTTACCGGCATCCTTAGCTAAGGCACCTCCTTCGACCGCTTTCGCTAGACCGGCAATGCTATCTTCCCTTAAGTCTTTAGTTAGTTATAAGAGCCTTATAGAGTATATCTTCCTTTCCTTATCGATCTAATATAAGAGGAGTTTAAAATATACCTTTAGTATATACGTACGATGCCTAAGTCTAAGTAAGAAGGCCGCAATGCCCTTTAAACTTATAGTATAAGCAACTAAATCGTCCGCTAGTACCCTACCCTATAGCTCTTAGCTATCGCCCTTCGACCTAATTATATATACAAGCTTATCTCCGTCCCTAAGCCTACTAAGTTCTTTAAGGTTAGCGGTACTTATAAAAACTGTCCTTCTAAGGAGTCTGCTTATCTCGGATAAGATATAGTTAAGCTCGTAGCTAGCGAGGGTGCTAGTTACCTACGCATTAAGGTCTGCCTTATATCTAAGGATAAGACTAGCTACTCTACTATTATCGAAGGCATATATTAGCCCGAGGTCTTTGCGAACTAGGTTAAGAAGCTTAAGGCTCGTAGCCTAGTCCTACTAAGCAAGATCGGCAAGCTTACTAATAAGTACCTTACCGGCGACGACCTCGACTATATGTTCGATAGTTAGCCTAATAGTAAGGGGCGTAAAGCGGAGTAGATCCTTAACCCTCTAAAGGAATGCGAGGTCTCTATTTAGATACTATACCTTCCGTATAGTAATCTAAAGACTAAGAGCAACCGTATATTAATTAACCTAGGCTACTCTCGCGTTATTAATAGCACTAAGGTTAAGGGCTACGAGAACTTAACAGTCTCTTAGGTTGCTAAAGCGTACCGCAATCTAACCGCCCTCCTAGCCTCTAACTCCTTTATACTATTCGCTTTCCCTATAGCTATCTCGGTCGAAGGCCTCGGCTATATCTCCGACGCCCTAGTTAGCAGGATTCCTTAGTTAAGTTACGTTATTTAGAACGAAGTTAAACAGATCCTCTAGCTTAATAACGAAGGACTTAAGGAGTATCTATACGATTAGGAGAAAGCTGCGAGGGAAAAGGCTACTAATCTCCTCGTTAATTAAGCTTTCTATAAGGGACAGTACTTCGGTGCTAATAGCTTTAACGTATATAGAGGAGATTTCGAGAGCCGACTAGCAGATAAGGTTATTACTAGTAAGGATTACGGCGCGTTAAAGCAATAGTAGGTCTGTATAGTATTGCTTAGGAAGTCGTTTTTATATAATTATAGTATCTAGGATTAATACTACCCCGGGGGTGTTATTACGGAGTTGTAAAAATAGCCTTAGCTAAGACCGCTAAGGATGTATATATGTTTGTTTTAAGCGCGTAATATAAAGCGTGTCTAGTTAGACACAAAGAAAGGGAGGGATATTAGCTAGTAACCGGCCCTATACCTATAGGCTAGTTTTAAGCCTATATAAGAGGCCTCCTTCTATAGAGTAGATAGATTATTAACCTCGTATAGCACATTGTTTATATTACACTTCTATAATGCCTATATTGTAGGGCTCTAGTTATTAGCCTAAGCGACAGTCTCGTTATCCTATCTTACTAAACATAGCTGCCTATATTGCTATAGGTTATGTTACCCTCGGTAGCCTATACTATTGCTACAAGTAGTAGTAGTAGTATTAGTTTCCGTCCTTTACTAAACAAGCATTTATATAGATAGCATTAGCGGCGATATATATACGTTGTTATAGCTAAGAAATAAGCACTAGACGACTTTAGAAAGTCTTTTAATTCTATATACGTATACTATTTAGCTCTTACTAAAGTAAAGTAGTTAAGATTATATAAAACGCAGGCCGTAGTACTCCTTACGTAACTAACGCAACTTAACCGAGTATTTAAGATAACCTTCCTATAGCTCTTAATAAGAACTATAATTATATACTTAACTCCGTAGCGTCCGTACCTCGTAATAGTAGTAGCTCTACCTCGTAATAGTTATAATACGTTCTAACGCGCTACTACTCCTAGTAGTACTTCTAGCCCTCTTCTTAGCTATCGCCGCCTACCCTAAATCTACTCTATCTACTTTTAGTAACAATAGTATAGCTATTACCGAGATATCTATCTCGATCCGCCCTACCGACGATATTATCCTCTTCGCTTCTAAGATTAAAGTTAACCTTCGCCTAACGACTCCCCTCTCTATTATCCTCTAGTCCTTTATAGCTAACTACGCCGTACCGATCGAAGTATCCGCCGATATCGAAGTACTTTAGAAGTATAGAGTCTTAATAATCTTCGCTACTACCGCTACCCTCTTAGCTTTCTTCCGCTCCTTCGATAAGCGCGAAAACGCCGCTATAGCTAAGTTTAACGCTAACTATATCTATTATTTCCTAGTAATCGATAGTAGCGATATACCGTTAAAGCAGCTTGCCGCCGCGTACATTCTAGGTAGTCCTTAGATTAAAGCCCTAGAGTATAAGAATCCTAGTACCGAGGGCTACTTCGATATATACTATTCTAATTCTCTATATAAGAATAGTATTAGTATCGTCTATGCTCTCGAAACCCGTATAACCTCGAGTAGTACTAGCGCTAAGCGTTAGGAAGATAAAGGAGCTACTAGAACTAAGACTAACGGCTACGAAGTCTACGGTACGTTACGCGCTCCTTATCTAAATAATAGGATCCTAATATGAAACTCTAGGCAAATACTTCTTCGTCAACGTCGACAAGAACGAGGAGATCGCTATAGGTTTCGACGGCGCGTTCCTAACCAACGTAAGCAAGTTTTTACCCCTGCAGTTCTATACCCGTATTGACTTCTGCTTAGCTCCTTGACTCCGTTTCCGACGACACTAATTTCGATACCCTAGGAGCCTCTTGCCTCAATCTTATCAACGACGCAAATGGCAAGGCCGCCACTTACGGCTACTTCACTTCGTCGGAGAACGAGAAAGATATCACCGAGCAGCATGAGGGTTCTTGGACGTGGATGCTTGCTTGTCGGCAGCTTTTGTAGTAGAAGCTGTTTTCGCTCATTGACGAGGAAGGGTCATTTGGCGTAGTGCGACGACGTCTGAAATTAGGGAGTGGTTCACGGAGCAGCAGAGATATATGGAGGATTAGTGGACCGTGGTTTCAGAAGTCGCATGGCCTTCTTGCAAATCACTCCACCATTAGCATGAAATAGAACAAGAACAAGGGCAAAGTCGGATGCATATGTCCACAGAGCGACATCACATCAAAAACTATAGAAGAAGAAAAATCTGAATCGATGGTCCTATTTAGATCCAGTCAAGGACTGCTTGGGCGCTTTACCAACGTAGACGCACGACAGACGGTGGACTATTGCATCGAGTTTCTTGCTTCGGATACTGTAACTCAGTAGAGCTACCCGATACCTGACTTTTGTCGATAGTTCTACAGCATACGTCGATCCAAGCCCAACCTTCGAAAACACTGTGCAAAGTGCGATTTTCTGCTAGCCCCCAAGGCGTCCCGCTTCTCCCGTATTTCAGTGAAAGATACATCTTCCTAGAGAGTTGTTGTGTACAGAGTGGCAAATTTCGGAAGAATTCCTTCCATCTGCATCGGATCGATTTTTTAATCGATTTCTTACATATATAACATTCCGGCAGGCAACACATTTCCCTTATCCAACGGCTCCGCATCCCAAAGCGTCATGCTCGGACTCTCCAACCCAAAGTACTCGCCCGCAGCAACAATCGCCGCAAAAAATCCAAAAGCGGTAATCAGCCACCCCGCGATTGAAAACCCCGTCGAGAAATCCTTCTCCATTCCAAACCCATACCCAAGCGCCGCACCAAGACTGATCAAAATCACGAGAAGCAACGCAGCATACACCTTCGCACTGTCAAACGTCTCCTTGATCTCCAAATCCACCACGGCACCGGGTTCGATCAACTCATCCAAATTATCCACCCAAACTCTAGAATGTTTCTGCCTTCTCGCCTCGCTGTTCTTCTCCTCTCGAAAAACATGGAAAAGTTTCGAAACGCTTCGCGCTTTCTTGCGGAGCTGGAACATGAAAAACGCTCGACCTCGATCGTCGTCGCGGTTCGTGATGGCTTTCTTTTCGCTGATTTGCCAGCGGCCGTGTTTGTAGGCTTGGTCGGGAAAGGCGTGGTATTGGAGGAAGTATACGAAGGAGATGGCTTTGTAGGCTGTGAGTTTTTGGACTAGGCCGATGTGGTCGGTTTTGAGACGTCGGTATTCTTGGGTGAGACGTGTGGCGAAGGCGAAATCGTCCCAGGTTCCTTTTTCGTAGATGAAGCCACGGCTTTTGTAGCGTTCGCCGTGCCGGGTTAGTACAAGTTTGAGGGTCAGTTTTAGAGTACCGTTGCCTTTGCTGTAGATCGGAACTGCCGCTCGAGCCCAAAGACCTTTACTGTGGGGTGGCGCTTCTCTTATGAATCCTTGTCTTCTGATCGGTACCATGATCGAGTTCCGCCGATACGGAATATATCGTGGTACGAATGGTTTATACGCCGGATTTGTAGGCATATGTGAAGGATGGTATGAGGATGCGTCTGACCACGATGGAGAAATTGGGGGCGGTGGTGGAGGGGGTCCATTTGGCGGCGGGCGTGGAGGGGCTCCAAATCCAGCAGAAGGTCGTAATGGTTGAGGCATACTGGACGGGCGGATGTAAAGAGGTTCAGGCCTGGCAGAGATTCGTTCGGGTCTTGCATCATGGTCCAAGCGAATGTCTGGACCTAGGAATGTGCCTCCATAGTAGTCGTCTAGCAGGTCGTCAGATTCCTGGTCCGTGACATGGTCATGGTCCTTCTTGGGAGGTGCCTCGACGTAGCGGCGACTAGAGCGACGACGGCTCTTCTTCCGTGATGATTGATGCGGCTTGTCTATCTGTATGCGATGCAGCTCCTTGTCCGTGTTTCGCTTATTGCGTCGGATGAAGACATTTGCCAGGTCGCCTTCTGAATCGGAACTTCCAGACATGATCGTGCCAGCAATGCAAGGAGACAAGCACGCACAGGGTACGAAAGGCAGCCGATGAAATGCATACAGAGTCATCACTTACCGGAACGCCATCTCGCTTTGGAGGTGCGGCTGAGCCTCGTCGATCCTCAGGTGTGGTGTGGCCCCGTGCGGCCGCCATTGTACCCGAGGCCTGGCCACGATCTTTCAGTACATCTTCGCATATTCAATTTGAGCGCGATGCCTCGTCGATGATAGAAAGTAGAGGGTGTAGGTGTAGGTGAAAAATAGGATGTGGTGCGGTGAAGGTTCACGAATCGAATCCCTGGTCTGCCAAGAGTCCTCAGGAGCTCTGTCTCGCATGATCAGACGCGTCCAACAGCGGTATGGTGTGAAGTCTTGGAGCTCAGCCCAAACTTCACCAACTCTTCCTCTTCCTCTTCCTCTTCCTCTTCCTCTCCCTCTTCCTCTTCCTCTCCACGCGCACGCGCACGCGCACGCGCACGCTATCAACCTTCTTAAATGCCTACATACTGCTTGCGTAGCTGCTGGCGTGGAAAAACTGCCACAGCAGGCCGCAGCAGGCTACAGCAGAGCATCTGCGGCGCACAAGCCCCTCGCTCGGCCCACTAAAGGTTTGGTGGGCTGAGCCAGTATCATCTAAACGGCGACAGGCTATTCAGACAACCAAGATACAAGAAATCTCGCCCCACTTTCGCAGCAAAACAGCTGACCGACGTCAACCATGGGCCATATCAAAAGCCTCGCGATGCACTAGGCTCAAAAAGGCCATCTCAACCGGCTCTTCCATTGAATGATCACACCAGCGCCAACGAAGAAGCTCTCAAGGCTGAAACAGAAGCCGAATCAAGGACAGAAGCCGGATGGAGCAAGTGCCGGGGAAATGCAGATGAAGGTATTCCAGACGAGCAGTAACCCTGTCTCAATTCTCTTTGGAACACCCCATCCACGACCGAGGCCAAATTCGTGGAATGTCGATGCCAGGACAACACCACCATTCAAAGGGATACAGTCAAGGATTCTTGTTACATACATATCATCAACGCCATGGAAGCCGAGCGGTCTCAAAGATCGCTCTCCGGTGCGTCCACTGGTGACCTGCAGCGACGCCTGGATACGGACTTGGGACCATGCAGGTCTTTGCCTACCGCTCCCATTCTGGCCAGCGGTGAGAGGAAACGAAGCATTTTAGCGAAGCTCTGGGAACACCATTCTCATTTCCAATAGATCTGGAAATCACGTCCTCGTGACTGTTGCCATTCCGGGTTCGCGTACAAGGATGCAGAAGAGGAGCTCGTAGATCATAATCTGGAAGTGCTCGGGGACGGTTTAGCTTGAAGAGCGCCAACAGCACCGGTGGCTCGACTACGAATTCGACAGGAACATATAATGAGAAACTGCCATAGAATTAGACCAGTTCTTCTTGGCTTGTTCCAGCACACACCTCTTACGCTTCCACACTTGCAAATTTACGATGGTTTCCAGCAAAGAACGCCAACAACAACAACAACAGCAGCAGCAGCAGCAGCGAGATAAGATTTCATGCCGAACCATGCAGGCCAATGACACCACTTGACGCCCTTGCGAAGCTTCCGAGGATGATGTAATTCCGCTCAGTCCCTACCTTAGCGCGCATATGGGGTAAGAAATAACCGTAGTATTACAGCAATCTCAACGCCAACTGTATGCACTATTTTGAACCGTACCACACCAGTAGATCGACCATATACCATTCAAAAGCATTCTTCTGCATAGACCTGCCTGCCGCAGAACTTGCTGAACCGCAGAGACCCACTTCTACTGCAGAACCCAATAGGAACAGGTGCCAAGCGGTTGCGGAGTGGGTACCGGCACTTCCGACTTCATACGATTCACGGTGCTGTATAGTATTCTTCCTTCACGCGCACCAAGGCTCTCGCATCGCACGTTTCCGCACGATTAAGTCATTTATATATCGATTTTCTAGATCTCGCGCGCGCTCACGATTCGATATAGCCGAAGCAGCAGCAGCAGCAACTCCAGCTCCACCGCCGAAGAGGCTACTACTAGAAGCACCGGTATATCATTATCCTTTGGTCTATCATTATCCTTTGGTCTACACTCAAACACTGCACTCTATCATGTCAAGAATGTCAAGAATATCATGTTAAGAATATCCTATCAAGATTCAAAGCCGACATCTCTACGAATGCCTAAATTCTGCCCAAATCCAATGCCTAAATCTTCAACCTCCGGTCCACTACGACTATGTCTAACACATGCACGCGTACACTGTTCATCTATTCCATTGTTTGCCAAGCTTTCATATGTGAACAGGCGGCTATGGCAATATAGTGTAGTAGCTAACAGTTGTATAGCTGCGAGAGCAATTACGTTTCATTGCTGATTACCCCCATATAAGACTACCTACAAAGTCCCTTCCTGTACCCAGTACTACCGAGTCTGCAGCTTTTAAAGCTGAGACTGACAAGCGTAATCAACTTAATTAAGAATTTAAGTGGATGCATTTCGAAACTGGTACTTATAAGCAAAAAGATGATATTATTAAAAGAGTCTATAGAGAGAATGTCTTTAAGGAGAACAAATTACTGTATGCATGGGCACGGAGCAAAGCCCTTAATACCCGCACCTTGAAGTCGGACACTATCAAAAATTGTCGTGTAAGTTATCCCTTTAGCCTTGCCTGTTCACATCTTTTTGCTTAGCTCATGCTTAACTTATGTTCAAACTCATAAGTTGAGCTATCTTTTTGCCATTTGGCAGCACCTTTAATCTAGCAGGACTTATCCTTCGAACCTTATAATTCCGAAGCCTACTAATCTTTAGCACATTCTCGAATCTTATAGTTTTGAAACCTCCAAATTTCTAGCTAATTTTCGAATATTATAGTCCTAAGACGTTCAATCTTCGGTTTCTCAACTTTTAGTATAGGTTTAAGCATAGGTTTGAGCATAAGTTTAAGCATGAGTCTAAGTAAAAGACTATTCCTTTTGCTAGTCGCTATGATACATGCATGGTATAGGTGTGGCTAATATATATATAGGGATATGTCGCGAAGCAGATGAAGGAAGATCCGTCCCTTTAGGACATAAGCGTCGAAGAGACGCTCGATTACTTCGACGAGCTCTTTAGCGAAGACGAGTTCTTCGTTGTGTAAGTTGATCATAATGCTAATGTCTTATTTCCTATTTCTTTTTATATAGTATTCTCTCTTATAATCTATTAATCGGTGGCCGATAAACGATGCTAACATTATTAATATATAGCTTCAAGTATATAAAAGGTCGCCTAGATATCGACAAGTCCGGCCCTTAGGGCAAAGCCTTCTGCAAGTGTATGTCATTTAACATAGCTATAGTCTTTAAGTCTACCTTGACTCGAGAAGCATTATTTATTATAAGCTTTATGCCTAATGCCTTCCCTAGACATCTATCCATTATCTAATTCGATACCTCCGAAGCTCCGCATTAATGGATTTATGCTAATTAGATGTAGGGTAGTACCGTACTTTGTGCTCGGAAGTGGCTACGGCCCTTCGTGAAGACAAGAAGCTTAGTATGTCTTGCCTAGATTGTGTTACTCGCAATGCTGCTTGTGTATAGATAGAGCTAACACTATATAGGCAAGCAGTGCGCTAATGCTAATACTGCGCTCGTAGAGGCATACGACTCCTACCCGTAAGTTGATCTTTAATAGATTAGCTATATCTACATGCTCTATAACCTGTCTTTCAACAAGACCTGTCGCTACTCTATCGCAATATCTACGCTTAGTATCTCCTTCGATCTACCCTTAAGCATCTACTATCTACCATCTACCATCTACCATCTATAACGATCTAATTCGAATCGTTATTGCTCCGCGGAAGAGTATTAGCTAATGAGTATATAGTATCGACAAAGATTACGATGCGGTAGACCGCTCCGACTTTGCGGTAGTTATGCCGACTAAGACTAGTGCTAGCGACAAGGGTCGCAAGGTATAACTATCTTATTGCTTTAGTAGCTTAATGCTTACTATAGCAACACACGTATGGATATGCTAATCATATAATAGAGAAAGAACCTCGCTGGCGCTAAGCGGGCTAAGAAGCGCCTAATGCAGCTTCCGCCTGCAAAGGCTTAGGCCTTATATCATTTTTATATTTCTACATTTCTGCATAAGATCTTAGTTGAGCGATGGCGCTAGTAGCTTTGCTGTTTTGCTGTTTTGCTTCGGCTGCGCTATATAGCTACTGCTGCATTATTTTAGCTTATGATACCTAGATGAAACGCTATTGTTACTTACTAACTACTGCTACTTGTAGATGTACCGTATATCCGCGATGAACAGGTCTGTATTGAATGCTATCGCTATCGACATCTAGTATCCCCGAGACCTTGCCGGTACGGCCGCTTAGCAAGCAAGAACATGCAACGAACACGACCGCATCTACGAGATAAGACAATGTCAGCTTATACAAATATTAGCTTATACAAAGAACGCAGCTTGATTCACGCGTCTTGTCTTTATTCACGAAGCACACAAAGCCTAGCGCGTGTTAGGCTTGGCGTGTTAAAGCGCGTCTAGGTGCCTTCCGCAGCAAACACTACCTGCCTTAAACCCTAAACACATATACTCGCGACCTTTAAAAACACCTTCTACACTTCGCCTTCTGCACTTATTGCTTAACACAACGCACCTTGCAGCATTCAGCGAACAATGCCGCTACGTTTCTCATTCTTGCCGCTAGGCGCACTAAAAATCAAGCTTGACCCTCCCTAGGCAACTCCTTAGCCAACAGTAACAGCCGTAGCTCCTACACCCTCGAGTATCGCTACAAACTCTACTTAAGGTACAACACCTAGTCTTAGATCGACACCTGCTCTAGCAGCCGTAGGAACAAAGCGCCCTCGCGAAGATGATAATAATGATAATAATAATAATAATAATAATAATAAGGGCGCTAAAGATTAAGATAAAGACGCAGCCGCTAACTCGAGCTTCTTGCCGGCTCTAGATAATGTTTATCCAAGCATTGAGTCCGCCGACGTCGACGAGGAACTAGTGCAAATAGAGGCCGCAAATCCTATAGCACGTATAACTACTGAAATGCTTAATCTACAGCTCGCATTAACACAAGCAGTCGACGATGTTAAGCAACCGACCGTCGAAGAAGTCATTGAGACAGCCGAGTATCAAATTCAGCCTAATAAGGAGCCTAATCGAGTGCAGGAAGCCACTGCTATACTAGGCTAAGAATACATCGAAGCTAATAAGGATTACGCACCACCTTAACAGACTAGTCTAATGCTTCCGCTACCGACTCTAGCTACTGCAGTTAATTAGTCTCAAGTCCTTAATTAGAAGAAGGGCTGCACCGTTAGCGCTATTAACGACCTGGAAATAGCATTTGGTATATAGCTTTAGGACGTTAGTATCTTACGCTCCGACTATGTATCATTGTATAAGATCTTTACGACCCTAGTACTAGACAGTAACAAGCTCTCTAAGCTACTAAAATCGATTGACACGATCAAGTTGCATTTAAAGTCTGTACTTCCGCTGCTTACATTACGCTATTAAGATATTCTGCTACAGAAGCAGAAGACACTTCTAACTGCACTAGGATCTCAAGACATTAAGACATTACAGCCGCTGTTCTTCTTCGATCCATAGGAGCTGTTCTCTCGCATACTTAGCTCTAGCACAGTTAGCAATATGCATAGCGGATTAGCCGAGCTTGTCGATGTCCCTAAAGAGCTGTTTTAGTCGCGAGCATAGGCGAGCTCTATCCGTACGACATCTAGTGTGTTCGCGAGATATCTATCGCATTACAATGCACCTAATATTATATACGGTACGGGACCTGCACGCGGAGTCGCTCTACAACCTAAGCTTAAGAAGAAGAAGAAGACGCGTACTAAGAAGACTGCGAGAACCGATAACAACGCTAACGAAGAGGAATCAATAGCGGCGCCTCTAACTGACTAGCAGCAGTTTATCGGCATACCTAGCGGACTAATCTTTCTATTAGACTTCGTCCGCTTTCTATACTAGGACGTTAGCTGCAATTGCAGGACGACTTAAGCTTACGCTAGGCGCGTAATTGCTATATAGATCGACAACCGTGAACTAACTAAGCGCAATCCGAAGGGAGATTACAAGGGCGAGAAAGGCTCGGTAGTTGTCTAAATTGTGCCACTTCTCAACTTCGCTACCTTACCGCTACATATACGACAACACCTCGGTGGCGATGTTATTAGCAATAAGCTCTTTCAGGCAGAAGGCCAGTTCTACTTCGCTCTAGAGTCTGATGTACAGCTATTCAACTTGGGTCTAATTGCGATGCACTATCCGTACGAAAGCAGGATTAAGGCTGCACTACTTCCGCTTAATGAACACAAGTTCGTTGTTCGTCGCATCGTTAATCCTACTAGGGTTGTGCGGCTAATCTACTAGACACATCCAATACGTAGCGAGCTTGAGATTATAGTCTATAGCCGTCGGCAGCTTCTGAAGTTTGACACTTCTAATCCGAAAGTCATCTTAGCGCCCTTCCTATTGTTTATTGATAGCTTTGGTCTCTACCGAAACATGCACCGATCCTTAATGGGTTAGTACATTATTATAGCTAGTCTTACGATACAGGAGCGCAATCGGACTTCCAACGTTATACCATTTACACTTAGTCCTTATAGCAGCAACACCGAGGATGTGGTTAGCGCTATCGCTCCGAGGCTAAAGTAGCTAGATGCCGGGTAGGAGATTGAAATTGCTAGCTAGAAGACATTAGTGTGCGCGTTTATCTTATCGTACACCGGCGATATGCTACAGCAGTAGGAGAACTCTGGTATACTAGGTCCTAGAGCTAATGTATCATGCCGATTCTGCTTTATATACGCTAATAATCGCGGCACGCTCGATGTCTATGCTTATAATCTGCGCTTCTATTATAAAAGCGAGCGTATCCGTCAATATATGTCTTCTATAGCGACTACTATACGAGCAATATATGGCCGCCAATTTGGCATGCTTAGCGAAGCACTAGCACTACAGCAGTTATCTCTAGCCCTGGATATCATTCTAACACGACTATCCGATCCGACTCACTTAGAGTTCAAAGGTATTACTAGTATGTTTTATACTGTACTCCTTAGAGAGATCCTTACCAACGCGGCTTAACTTGAATACGGCAAAGCAATCTATAAGTTTCTAATGCCTCCTAGCTAGAACCGCCTTCAATCCCCTCTTTACTATCTTGCATAGTACAGCCTCTCCGAACACGCCCGGTAGTCCGTTACGGTCCCAATACTAGGTCGTATTTAGCTATAGGATAGTTATATCGAGCAGTCATTTCGCGAGGCTGTCCGAGGACTTGTCTCGCAACAAGGTACGATACTGAACTAAGTTGCTAATAGTCTAGCGCAGGAGCTTCAGTTACCGTTATCTAGAGACATTCCTGTATTAGCTATTGTCGTCCGCTTCCTTGCTATACTAGTACGCTCCAATGTCTACCTTATATCGAAGAAGATTACTTCTTAGCAGCGAATTGACTTCATAACTAAGATGATTGCTATGCGGCGAATCTTCTAGGAGCTTATAGAGTGCGCTACTATCTCCAATATTAAGAATCTATACACAAGACAGCGTAGCCGCAGTTACAGTTAGAGTGTTCCGGTTGCTAGTACTAATCTCAGTTAGACGCCTAGCCCTAAGCAACAGCTAAAAGAGACTAAAGGCGCCGCTAAGTATCGAGCGATAGCAAAGCGTCCGAACGTCTACATTAGTTAGCACTATACAGAGACCATCGCTGAATACGCTATAGCTAGTAATCTCAATGTGCTTGCTAGAGAGGCTAAGCATAAGACAATAAAGCAGCAGGTCTATCTCACTAACTAGTACAAGCCTAAAAAGGACCTCCTCGAGCGACAGGGCCTAGAAATGACTGTACGACTGCTTCTATAGGATGCTTATAAGCAGGACAAGCTAGAGCTCTTAGTACAGATTTAAACACTCTTCGAGAACAACGCTCAATTATTCGACAGCGTACTGCTACGTTCTAAGCAAGGCAATAACGATAATCGATCAATCCTCGACGGTACGGAGATTATTCTTAGCGATAATAACTATCTGAATGTAGTTACGGGTGATCGACTGCTGCAGTATTATTGCAAAGACTTCTTATTACTTCCTATCCGCAACGATGCTATAAAGAAGCCGTTTAAAGACGCACTTAAGGCGGCATATTAGTACGACTACAACCGGACGAACTGCACACTAGACAACAACGATGCTGTACACTAGTATAAGCGCTTTGCTTTTAACGATAAGCCTACCTAGCGTCGCACTGTTCTTCGCCGTAGAGATTTCGTTCGATACCGTAGCACTAGTATTAGTCGTATCGATCAAATCTTTACGTACCGTACAGCTCGTAGCCTCTCACTGTTCGCACTTATTACTATCGCCTAGATGGATCGTAAGGACCTAATGCTTCAGCTTTCGGTGTACAAGCTCACTAACAAGCAGGTCACTATCGGCATTAACGGTATCGATAGTAGCAAGATCTAGATAGTGCTAGTTACTAGACAGGGCCTTTAGATGACAAAGGGCAAGGCTGCTATTAATATAAGAAGCAGTGATCGTGCCCTCTTTGTCGATTAGGACCTGCAGTTTCTTTAAAGGTATAGCATTAAGACATATCTAATAAGCACTATACAAAGCTGACTGTATCTAGGTATATACACACCGAGATGATTCAGCTTGATTAGGTATGCTCAGCTCTCGTCCAACAGCAGAAGATCCAATGCTAAATTGTTAACAGGTACAGCTAAATATCTATAGCTAGATGTCGATTAAACATACCCTTTGTATAGTAAGTCAACTTTAGTATCGCATTATACTCTTTACTAACCAAGATCTAGATACGCTTTCTTTACACGGTCTTTCCTCTTTCTTCAGTAAGTCCGAAGCCTATGCTCTTCTAACGAAGGCTAACTTTGAGTATAGATCTCCTTTGTACGAATCGAGCGTTCCACTGTTACTAATATCCCCTTCGCACTACGACCGAGCCTTCGCCACGACCGAAGCCCTTTACGGCATATCAACTAGAGCTTCTCGGATAGTAGGAACTTGGTGAATGGATGAATGGATGGCTGGATAGCAGGTATTGCGGAGGCAGGGAAGCGAACAGGGCAGGCTGAGTGGCCTGCATGTAGTACTGCAATCGAATGTGTTGAGTCACTCGTATAATACCCTATACTGAATAGGCTGGTGTCTCTCGTAAATGCTGTTTATACTGTATCGTTGTCTAAACTGTATACTTGTTCAAACTGCAGAGACCGGCCTCTGCTGCAGAGACCCACTTCTGCTGCAGAGGCCAATTATCAGCAGCCTTAGCAAACAGCACCGAGGCCACAATGGCATCTCACTGTAAACAGCACCGCTTTGGATATCTGCAGAAATGCTGTTATTATGACCTGCAGTTGATATCTTCGTACTGCAAATCTACTACAATCCTACGGTATAGAGTGAGCACATACCCCGCTAAGGTAGGTTTCTAATCCCTATGGCCTTCACCTATAGTATATGTACAACATAGTTACTTGCTTCAGGGTCGCTCTGCGGGGTTTTCAGCACAGCCTTGTCTGCGATGACGACGACTGAATGTTGCTTCACAGCCGGACATCTCACACTCTCGCCGGACTCAATAACCCGGGTTGCACTGGCTCTATATAAAAACATCCTGGAGTCTCCTCGGCGAAATAGCCCGGTCTGGGACTGTAACATTCGTGTTGGAGAGACTAGATACAAATCTACCTAGCAAGTGTCGTCTACCAGGCTTTGTCTCTTTTCGGCACGATATACGGATTGTAGACCGTGGTCTCGATACAGTTGAGACTGGCTGCATCTACAAGACTACAAGGTAGCTTTAGAAAAAAATCCTGGTATTTTTCCTTGCAATAGTGCCACTTTAATGGTACTACTGTAGAGATGCAGCTAGCGGCAGGAGTCCACACGAGTGTGAAGTCTGACCACGACTGAAGGGTGCTCTTATTGATACTGCATCGAGCACTGCATCGAGCCACTCGGCATTTGATCAAAAGACAGGGCGATCAGCAAGAAATATGTATATTGTCCTCAGTACCTAACAATAAACCTGAACCTTTCTCCGCATTATCACGCAGGGAAGCGGGCGGCATCCGGAACCACCAGCATCACAAAACTCTACAACGTCTACACCAACATGAGGGGGTAAGACAGAGGGAAGCATAAATATCAACCCCAAATCCACCTCCAACCGTTATATTCTACCCAACCCTCACTCACACAAACGAACTTCACCACCACAAACAAAAGACTCCACCCAAAATGCAACTCCTCACCCTCATCGCAACCCTAGTCGCAGTCGCCAATGCCGCAATTCCAATCGGCATAAGAGCCGACGACGGCACAAAATGTTATTGTCCATCGGCAGGTTGCTATAACGGAAAGTGCGAGACTGTGGTAAGTAGTATATCGATAAACCCATCTATCACACGTCAAGAAACTAAGGAGAAAAAAAAATTAGGGCGGTCCGTGCTGTTGAATGAAATGAGAGAATGTAGAAGGGCTGGGATGATGATGTGATGTGTAGTAAGTAGTAGGATCGAGGCGTGAGGAAATTTCTACCATGCTGACTGGATGTAGTGGACTGGAAGTTTGTGCGTTCAACACGTTGATCGAGTCTGGAGCGGAACGGAGCGGTGTGATAAAATGAAGTCGCACGTGTGGTTTTGCTTGTGAAAACCCCCGAGTGTTGTGCTGTTGTATTTGTGAATAAAAAATGATGAATTATCAGATATCGGAATGAAAAAAAAACATTTGACGGACTTCTTTTTTTTTTCTTCCTCGCAAAGCTATCACTAAAAAATTTCTTCTGTCGTCGTCGTCTCATTCTATAACCACCCAACCCTGATTACCTACCTAGCTTTCCTCCCAACGACTATTCTAAACCATCTTAAAAACCTGCGCCTCAGTAGGAACCAACGTAGCACAACTAACATGCGGCCAACTAATGCCCACAAAATTCAAAATCACCATCTGACTATACTGAATCTGAATCCCTCGCACGGAAATCTTCCTCTCCTCACACGGCAACCGATCCGGCGGCGTGACCAAAAACACGGGCGTGGGCGCAGTAGAATCCTTCCCATCTTTCCCTTTCGGCATGTTCGGTCTCAAAAGAATAGGTTTCGGGGAAGTGAGGCGTGGAACGTTGATTTCGTATTCTACCGTTTCGATCCAGAATTTGGATTTCACAAAGGGGACGTGGGCGTTGGGTTGGGAGATTTCGCGTTCCAGGAAGCCACCGGGGTCTTTGGAGATTTGGCGCGGGCCTTGGGTTCCCATGAGGAAGGCGATGTTGGTGACGCCGCCGCCGTTGAGTTTGTCGTCGGGAGTGCCGGTTGTGACTTCGAAGGAGATGGTGTCGAGGATTTTTTGATTTTCGATAGCTTTTGCGAGGAAGAGATTTGGATTTTGGATGACTTCCGTGGTGATCGTGCCTGCTTTGATGTATGGATCGAGATTTTGTGGTATCCTGAAGGTGTTCTTGTTGGTTGCATCCATGTTTGTGAAGACACTGTTGCCGTCGCCACCGAGCACTTGGCTGCCGCCGATGAAGAATGGTCTAGTATCGAGTTTGTCCTTGTCGAAGTTTGGGGGACCAGCCACGCCTCCGATAGGAGTGGTAGTGGTGATCTTTTGCTGCTTGCCGGCCAAGCCTTGTGCATTAATCGTCGTGCCGTGAGGGATGGACGCCATTCGCACGACTGTCTCTGCACATTGCGGATTCTTGTCGCACTTCTCCACGAAGAGCCACATGCCGGTCTCGAAATGTATGTCAGTGGTATCAGGGTTGGTCGACCTTCCAGTCTTTGGGTCTGTTGCATCCTGGACTGTTTGCATGTACGGAAACCCTTGAAGCGTGATATCCGGCTGGCTATTCCCATTGAAGCCACGATTTGGAATGTCACCGATCGTCTTACCAAAGCTCCATTGCTCTAGGGTCAGGTTGAGTTCAAGAATATTGTCGCCCGGGCTTGTTGGCGCGCCTCCGATTGCCTTGCCTTTCAGGTCTGTGAAGTCATCTTTCGACTCCTTCACGCCGTCCATTTTTGACCTTGGTCGGAAGATGGAGTTGAATCCATTTCCAGCAAACGCGCCCTGCATCTGTTTCAAAGGGAAGGGAGGAGCTGGCTTGGGCAGTTCCTTCGGCTTTGGCCTGAAGCCTAATTGCTCTTCCACTTGCTCGGGAAGATTTGCTCCACTCACTGGCAATTGTTGTGCTGCTGGTTGAGAGACAGCGGCAGCAGCAGCGGCAGCAAGAGCGACAGGTGGTTCTGCTACACGTTGCTGCACGGTGTGCTGCTCAACAAACTCAGGACCTTCCAGTTTGTGGTCGACTGTTCCCCAATGGAATCCATTGAGCTCAATGACCGGAGCGGGTGCTGTGATGTTGAATGGTGCGATGACTTTGCCATCATCCGTGATCTGGGTCGCCGCCATGATGGAGGTCCTAAGCGTGCGGAATGAACAGAACTACTAGTCAGATGTTGCGAGAGGAGACCGGACTAGAGAAAAGATCAGTCCGTAAGAGTTCGAGGACACATTTCTGCTCTTATACTCCACACAACGAGCCACGACTTCCGAGCTTGCGGAAGCCACAGCTTCAGCCGACTGCAATCCATTCTGTATCCAGAGAAGTCTAGACCTTGTCGACTTCTGAATTGCTTCCATCCTCTTCTCATTCGTGGTACAGATGCATATTCGGCTGTTTGGTGGCTGGCTGAGCTGCACAGCTCATATCAGGATAGTGGCTTTCAGCTTTCAGGCTTCAGCTGATATCACGAACTTTGATGACCACTGAAACTCGTGCGTTCAGACATTTCCCACATGGAATCTTTGCGGTAAGGTCTCAGCTCGGGCCTGATCAGGAGACATTCTGATGAGTACCATAGACAGCAAGTTCCTTCTGACTTTCCACAATATGCAGTCTAGACAAGCTCCACTACTGCAGCCGTGCAAAGAGCTACCCTGAAGTCAAACCAGAGACGCTCGGCAAGCACAAGCTGCGCGATGGTGAGACAGGTACTGTATGTGTTTATCGCCCACCTCTTCCCCATATCACTCAACGTGTCCATTTCACTTTGATCACTTCCATCATCAAAGTGCCGTTTCCAGCTTCAATCGAAATCGAAAATCGCTGTCGACATCGGTGGTCTGATCGATTGGATGCCATTTGAAGCTTCCTGAAGGAGCGTGGATGCTCCCCTGCATATAGGAACCTTCCAGCTGTATTCTAGACCTGACAGGCATCAAGCTTTGGAACGTGGCCGCCTTTTCAGATTTAGCTGCTCAGTTACAGGTAAGTAAGCAAGCCATGGAGGGTCTTCTGCGGGATGAGACGCGAAAGTGGTGCATGTCAAGTGGTGACGATCCGCCCCATTGCTCGGCTCAACTTGCCAAGAGGTACCGGCCTATGGAACTTCATCCCATAGCGTCTGTAGACTCTGTACCAGTACCATGCCTTTTACTCTCTACCTAGGCTATCCTGCTTCAGTAAGGCCACTGCAAAGCGCGGTGTCAAGCACTACCTCTGCATTGCTAATGCTGTAGTTCTATTCGATCGGCGCCGCCCAAGCTCTTCGGCTCAATCCAGAGTCTCATCTTCGTCCTCGTCCTCACGCCGAATGATCTCATCGCCCATGCCAGACTTCTTCATCTCCTCCTGCCGCAACATCCACTCGGTTGGTGGACCTGGCTCATTCCAGTCCATAGCGCGCTCATTGAGAGTCCAGGTGAAGAATGAGGGATAGACGCACTCGACCGCATCGATCCAGGACAAGCCGCAGCCGAAAGTCTTGATGATCGCATCGAGCTTCATGCCCGGGACGAAATGCTTCAACAAGTCTTCATCTACGATGAAGCTGAGACTCTTGCCCTGCTTAGCTTTCTCGGCCTCTAGAACGTGCTTCGGAAGGTCTCGCGGACTAGCTTGAGGGAGAGTCCAGCGAATGCAATGCAGCGAACCGGCTTTCTTGAATCTGTTCTTATATTGCGGCGCATCGTAGTATTTGTTGCCCTGCTCGGTCTCCAGCTCCACGCCAGTGACCTCCAGACCCATACTCTCCTCCACGATACATGTATCCGCTGGCTTCTTGTCGTCCTTCACCGCCTCGAAGAATTCGAGCTGTTCGCTGGTACAATACGCATGTGTGCCAATGATGAATACCTGGTCGGCAAGGTCCTTAGCCATTCCAAAGCTCTTATCGGCATTAGTCACCCAGTCCGCGTTGGCATCTGTTGGACTGTACTGAGCATAATAGCCGCCGTAGAGCGATGAGCAGGCTTTATTGAATTCACCAGGCAAACCTGCGTCAACTGCTGCGAGCTTCGGGAACTCGCTGTCCGCGAGATGAGTAGCAGCCACTGCCTTGTCGATGTCCTTTTTGTATTCTGGACACACATCGTGGATGTTGAGGTAGCTGAAGAAGTTGCGCAAGATGTTCGTGGTTTCGAGAACGGTTTTGCTGTTAGTCCAGTCGAAATGTTGCATAAATTCGGAGGACAAGAATGCCTTGGTCATGCCTTCGAAGTCGACAACCCAGGTAGGCTTGCCCTCGTCAACGCCCTCGGATACTTTGTCAGCGACTCCCCATCTGGCTTTCATCATAGCAATTTCATGCTTGTCGTAGTTTTCCTTCAGCTCCTTATCGTTCAGACGACCAGCGAACATGTTCTGTCCGCCAGCAAAGCCGCCAAACTTGAGGTACGACCCGAACACCTTAGCAGTCATCTCGTGAAACTTGCGCCTATTCTGGTATTCCGCCACAGCCCGGTCGATGCGAGCAACAAAGGACTCCTCAGCATCGTACAATGGACGTTCTTCCAGGTAATCACCGAGGGCAAGCGGACCTTGATTAGCATTGCTCTCAAAACCTGTCGGCTTCAACATTGCCTTGGTCATCCACGGCTGCTCGGCAAGCTTTGCATTGCGTTCCTTAGACTCGTCGAGCTTGGGAGTAACAGTCGGCGCTCTCTTCAACGGCCACTTACGCCGAATGAATTTATTCTTGTCGTTGATCTCCAACATCTTGCTTAACTTCAAGATCTCCTTCACTTCCGCCTTGGGCTTGTAAGGACGCATCTTCCGGAATCCAAGGATCTCGTTGAGGGATACCCAGCCATCACCTGCTGGGCCTGTGCGGGCAAGCAGATGAGCGTCGCCAGGAAGGTTTTCATCCCCCAAGTAGAACTCGACTTGCTTGATAATATCATCCTTGTGTTCTGATGCATTGAGCCTACTAGGCAGGGTTGATAGCAGTGACGGCTGGTCATCATCGGCAGCCCCTTCCGCTGGCGGCTTCTCCTTCTCGCTGGTGGACTTGGAGGACTCATGACCAGCGGGCGCATCGACAAATTCTGTGCCAGGGTCCGACTTCTTTGGTGGCTCATTCTCCTTGTGAACCCGGTCTGTGGCCTGAGAAGGAGCCTCAGTGGCAGTAGCAGCAGCAGTACTGTCGTTGCGAGTGTTGTGCTCTGGTGCTGCGTTGTCCGAGCCCTCATCGGCTACAGCATGCTCGTCCGCGCTAGTAGGTGGATGGCCAACTGATGGTGCGCTGGAGGTGGCATTCAATGGTGAGTCGTTTTCTCGACGCTCGATCAGCTCTTCGTACATCCGCGCGCCGATCGTGGCGAGACTGCGATCCTCAAATTCCTCGCCGGTATCCGGATCTACGGAGGTGCGTCGCTCGCGACCACCCACCATGTTGTCGTCGGCCTTGATGGCGTCCTTGTTCTGCCTCAAGTTCTCGGTCTCTGCAGCGCTCATGCTTGCGTATGTTCCGATGCAGCCTCCGCGGGTGAAGGCGCGATAGAGTGGCATGAAGCAGGCAAGAAGTAGTTGACTTGATCAGAAGGCACTAGCGAAGTCCGGTCAATGATTGTTGTTGTATACAGGCAAGAGCTAGAAGTGATGCGATGAAGTCAGAAGCTTCGAGCCTCCTCACTTATCAACGTTGGTGCATGTGAGCAGCCGAGCGTTGCTCAGTCAGCTTCGTCATCTGCTCTTCGTTGGCTTTCACATTCAATCTATTTTGATGGATCAAGCAACAGCTTCCCGGTCGTCTTCCGTCCCTCTAGATCCCGGTGTGCTCTTGCGACCTCACTGAGAGGATACACTTCATGAATCCTCACGTCTAGCTTGTCCTTCAGCACAAAGTCGAACAGTTCTTTGACGTAGTGCTCAAACTCCTCCCTAGTAACGAGGTATCCAAATAGAGTGGGTCTCATCAGCCTTGCGTTCTTCGCCGACAGTCTAGCAATCGTTACTGGAGGCACAGCGCCAGATGCATTGCCAAAGGAAATCAGAGAGCCCTTTCTTGCTAAGCAATCCAACGAGAGATCAAACGTGTCCTTGCCAACGCCATCGAAGACCGCGATAACACCTTTTCCTCCCGTCAACTCATCGACCTTCTTCTTCACATCCTCTTTCGAGTAGTTGATCATATGTGTCGCGCCAGCTTTCGTCGCGAGATTGATCTTTTCCTCGGTACTGGCAGTTCCGATGGTGTTTGCTCCAATTGCCTTGAGTAGTTGAACCAGCCAAAGTCCAGTACCACCAGCTGCAGCATGCACCAAGACCCAGTCGCCCTTATTGACATGATGAGCTTCTCTTACGAGCGTCAACGCTGTCAGACCTTGCAGCAAAGCAGCTGCCCCGATCTTTGGATCCATGTCACTAGGGACTTTCACAGCCTTTGCAGCAGGCGCCGCAGTGTACTCTGCATATGCCCCTTCTGCCATCCACACGACTTTATCGCCATCTTTGAGCCCGTGAGTGTCCCCGCCACCAACTTTTACGACTGTCCCTTCAGCTTCTCGACCGAGAACGTATGGGAAGGAAGGTGCCGGGTACAGGCCGGTTCGAAAGTAGGTGTCGATGAAATTTATGCCGATGAAGTCGTTTTTGACGAGAATCTGGCCCTCTGTCAATCGTCAGCATTTCCTCGAAGGAATACGACGAGCTCAAGATACAGTACCCTTCGGCTCAGGCACGGGTAGATCAGTCTTGTATTCGAGGACTTCTGGTCCTCCAGTCTTCTCAATGATCACACCCTTCATGGTGCTTGGGACTGAAGCCATGGTTCGAATTGGTCTGGAAAGGTGTGAGGAGATAGCTGCGACTCGTTGCGACGGATTCGAGGTTACGACTCTCTTAGCTGCGTTACGAAAGGACATAAGATTCTGGCTCACGCGATGTCTGAAGAAAAGAGAGAAGTTGGATCATGCGGAAGTGTTACTCCTAACTACGAGAGACCCTAGTATGTTTATTGGTAAGCTGCTTGTAGCTGCCATGGGAGCTCCTGGTGACGAAAGAGCTGAGAGGTGGGGTCTTTTGCCGATCCCGGATATGTGCCAAGGCAGTGTTCCATTTCGATATACACACATTGTCAAGCTCTACAACGTACATGCTATGCTGTTCCAAGTCCGCAGTCAGGTCGGTTTGTCATAATTTGACAAACTTGCTAAGGCCATTCCGCAGAGCTAAGCTGTCCTCGGCCGAGAGATTGCAAGTGCTACCCAGCGACAGAACGTAGGGCGTGGACGAGGCTTTGAGCTGAGTCGGTAAATCGGAGATCCAATTCCTTCTTTGAGTTGCTGAAGAGTACCCTTCGTTTGGAATGTCTATCTCAGCTACATCTTCGAATTGGTCGGCACGGGCTTCCTGTACATGGCACTGGTACCGGCCTGTCTCTTCGTCAGACCCGGAATTACGATCTCCTGTGCATGACAGTCGCTGCGGCCTTTGCCAACAGTCAGCATGGTCACATTGCGGCCGAAACATCTCTGTACATACCTGATGGTTGGGAAACACCAACATATCCGCAATCACCACGTTCTCCGGCCTTCCAGCACTCCACACGATCGTCTCAGCAATGTCGGCTGGGGTCAAGGGCGTACATCCCTCATACACCTTGGCTGCCTTGCTCTTGTCGCCGTAGAATCTGACCACCGAGAACTCCGTCTCGACCTGACCAGGATCGATCTCAATAATCCTGATCCGCGTCGCAACCAACTCTTTCCGCATGGCGTCTGTAAATGATCGCACGGCAGCTTTTGTGGCACAGTAGATGGAACCGCCTGGGTATGGTTCACGACCTGCGACGGAACCAATGTTGATGATATCTCCTTGCCCGCTCTCGCCCTTCTGCTTGAAGACCTTGAGAACAGCTTGTGTCATGTTGATGAGACCCGTAACATTCGTCTCAAATTGAACATTCATATCTTCAGGCTTGATATCTCCTGCCTTGTCCATTCCCTTCACCAGACCTGCATTGTTCACCAGGACGTCGATATCTTGGAACTCTTTTGGCAGGTTCGGGATGAAGTTGAGAACTTGGTCGGCTTTCGAGACGTCAAGCTGGACTGGATGAATCTTGACACCATCGCCATGCTCTTTGTTGATTTCGGCGGCCAGTTGCTTGACCGTGTCTATTCGTCGTGCGGCGAGGATGAGCCTGAGGTTCTTCGGTGATGTTGCAGCGAATTCCTTTGCGGTGCTTGCACCAATTCCTGACGAAGCTCCTGTGATGATAATCGTCTTGCCTTCCAGGCGCTTCCCCATTGCTGTAGCCATTGTCCGTTTCAAGATGCGAGGCCAAGGTAGCTGGGAGGTTCTCGAATGGGCGAAGGCGAACGTGGTCAGAGGATGGAGAAGCTGTCTTGACTTGAAGAAACTCATACAGAGCAAGCTGATAAGACTCACACGAAAGACAAGGATAGCGAGCGCAGCAGAAATTTCTACGGCCGCGGGCTGATACGTTTATCCTGAATGATTATTCCTGCAGGGCAATGGCATCAACACAATGTAATGCTTGCCGGCCGTCGCGCGGGACAGAGCTCGCCAGCAAGTGGGGGAGGCTGCAAGGCCGAACTTCGGGCGTCCGGGTCATCGCTGATGGTCTTGGCAGGGGCGGATAACAGCCATCTCTCCCAATATGGACGACCGTGGGACCGACACCTGACCTGTCGTCTTGACCTGCCGACTGGCTTCGAATAACTAGATCCGAACAATCAATTGTAATCGACGGACAGCAAGAACACAGAGGTGCTTTGAGGACTCTATAAGATCCTAGCGAGATTTACTATTTCAGGTCGAGAGTCGCTAATACTCCTCGAATATAGCCTTGTAATTAACTAATGCTTAAAGGGCTTAGAGCAATTTCTATAGAGTGCCCGAGGCATCTAAGACAATCGTTTACGTTACTAGAATGCTGTCTATAGATACGGACGATTTCTCGACCTTCTTCTAATTATTAATAGTTTCGGTTGCGTAGTATAAGTAGATAAAGCTATTTATATAGGTCGGATATCTTCTAACTTACAAGCAGGTAGCGGTTATTACTTTAGATTTTCTATATAATGTTAGAATAACCCGAAAACAAGTACTAGGACTAACTAAATCGGGCGAAACGAGAACAAGGAGAACGCGGGGAAATTACGCATAGGAACCCTAAAATTCGCGGCTACTCCCGGGCCTCGCGGCCGCCTCGCGAATAGGTATAGATCGTCTTCCTTACGTAAGCGTAAAAGGATAGCTAATAGAGGATTCGAACCTCCGATACTAAAAATTATACCCTCGCTAGTTACTACCCCGTATCTCTATAGGGACTACGAGCGAATAACTCTTAGTATCTAGAACCGATCTAATTAGCTAGAGGGTCGCAGAACATAGATAATTATATAAATCTAAAAAAAAAAAAATGTTGTAGCTAATAAGGGAATTAAACCCCCTATCTATAATATTACGTAAGGTAGGCTACTAAACTTTACCCTATATAGTACGGTATATAGTTCGGCATTTCGCTAACTAGAGCTAGCTTCTAATACTAATAACTAGCGAGGGTATAACCTTTAGGACTACCTAATTAGCTAGGAGACTCTATTTACGTAGTAGCTATAAACGTCCCCGCTCGCTTAGCTCCGGTTACGTACTAGAACGCCGCTTCTATCGTACCGCGTCTTTCTTTACTAGAGGAGTAGGTATAGTGTCGGCGCGCGATAGGGAGAGAGTAGAGAGTAAATAGAGGATTAGCGAAAACGAGAAAAGGAAGGGGCAAGGTTTAGAAGAGAGACTCCCTTTTCGCTATTAGGATAGCGCAGATCGATACGTCTTACTAGTATATCGCGAAGACAGCGTACGCGGTCGTCGCAATTTTCGCGATAGTAGTAAGTAGAGGGTTAGTCTATTATAGGAAAGATAGTATAGTAGTAGGGAGGAAATAGGAGAAGTAGGAGAGGAGAGCGAAATATATAGTAGAATATAGGCGATAGTAAGGGTAAGACTATTTTTATTTCATTTCTACCGATTTAGGTACTACCGGATTCGCGGCATTCTATCGCGCTTCGTAAGATTACTAGTAGTACTATCTACGTATAGCTAGCCGCTACGTAAGGTATAGTAGTCGTATAGTAGCGACGGTAAAGGTAGATATAGAGAAGGTGTAGAGTATATCGCGTACGCGTACCTCCGACGCGATAGTATCGATTACTTTAGCTACGACTATACTAGGTTGCTAGAGTTATACCGTCCGCTATCTCTATACAATTCCTATATTAGTATCGAGATCGCCTACTATATATACTATACGTACTTATCCGGATTGCGCTTAATATCGTCGTTACTATAGGCGTTATTAACGTTTAGGTTTCTCTTACGTAAGACGTCGTATAGGTGCTACGTAAAGGTTACCTAGCTCTAGTCGTTTACGACGAGTATATAGGAAGCGGGCTTACTAGGATTGTTCGGTAGAGTTAGCGCACTATATAGGAGCAGATCTTGCTTAGTATAGAGGGTCTTACGGCCGACGTTACCGTCGTACTAGACGGCGATAAGCTTAAGCTTTAGGTATCTACCCGTATCGCTAACCTAGATAAGGTCGCGTATTTCGTAGGCGAATACAGCTCGCGCTACGGTATACGTAGCGCCTAGTAGAGGCTTTATATAGCCGACGTATATACTAGCGGCAGTTAGCGGCTAACGTCGGTAATGCAAACGTAGATTAGTGTTTTTATAAGTAATCGATCTCCTCCGAGTTTCCTTCGCTAATAATCCGGCCGCTATATTCGTCGTATGCCTCGAGTAGCTAAGCGTAGGTACTACGCATAGTAAGGCCGCTATCCGCCTTAATAGGCTCGCTATTAGGGAACTCTATACTATCTAGCACTCTAGAGAAGACCGGCTAGCGCCTTAGGTCGGCAGCGCGCGGCGTTTTAAGCGCGTTTATATCGATAATAGGCAGGTTCTAAGCGTTGCCCGCGGTCGCTATCTAGGTTATATTAGCTATGTCGGTACTAGTTAATACGCTAGACATACCTCGAAGGTGCTTAACGTTGCGTTAAGGGTAGATATACGGGTAATAGGTAGTACTTAAGTCTAAATAAAGGTACAGGTATTATATACTACGGAAGGTGTTTAAAGTAAGGTAGGTTAGAGTAGGTAGAAAAAGCGACTAATATCGGCCGAAATCTAAGTTACGCGGAAGTAGCCGAGCGTTACGCGATTACGTTATCGCGGCCTAAAGCCTCGAGCTTAACAGTTTACATAGTCGATATAAAAGACATAGCCGATAGATATAAGGGCCGGGTACGATATATAAAAGGGCGATAGAGATAGTAGACATAAAGGCAGCTACGTTGTTAGAAACTACAAAGGAGCGAGCGATATCTAAGCTAAGATCTGCACTACTACCTCCCTACTATGTCGCAATTTACTAAATAGCCTACGTATTATTAACCTCCGATTAACTATTCGGTATACCGTTTAGGTAGACCTCGCGCAATACTAACCTAGGTAGGCATATTGTGTCTACGTAACCGTTAAACTATAAACCCCGATAGATGCCTAAATTGTAATTATATATAATATCGATTACGGCTTGCTTAGAGAACGGCTATATAGTCGAGCCGCGGATTTCCTCCTACGTCTCGTCTAACAGTTCCCTTATAGCTAGGGTATCGGGGCGATAGCGATACTAAGGCCGTCCGGAGTAGCTATAGTTGCAAACTCTAAGCGGCCCGTATCGCCTATAATTAAAGTATTAACGGTATTAGTTATTAAACTACGCCCGATCTACTATTATATAGAAGGCGCTACGCGTCTAGGGAGGTCGCACCTAGTTTAGTAGGGCTGTAATCTAGTTAAAGACGTCTCCTAGCGTCGGCGCGTTCGCTACGTCGATATCGATATCTCGGCCGATCGTACTACGATAGCGATACAATTCGCCTTCGTATAGGAAAGGGGAGTACTAGTAGAATAGCAAGCTAAGTATAATGCGACGCGTGCTACTAGAGACGGCCGCCGGCTATAGGCGCTACGATTATACGCTATCGGTATTATTTACCTATTTCGGGAGGTATAGAAAGTAGTTGCTACTTCCCTAAGCGTAGATAACGTTTAATATATAGAACTTAACGTCGTAAGAGAGCACGTTGTTCTATCGGATCCGTAATTGCAGACGAGGATTCTCTATAGGCAGGGAGGCTAGTTCTTTTAGGTTTAGTCCGACGTAATAGAGGAACTATAGTAGCGGCGCGAAGTAGGTATCGTACCGCGTCGGGGTATACTATTTTAGATCTAGGAGGAGGTTATTGATTTTAATACGGCCTTATACGACGATACGGAAGAGGTAATAGACGCGTTAAATAGCTACTAGTTTAGTCGGGAGGCGACGGAACAAGTCTTTCGTACCGCGAGGATCGATATACTTAAATTCGTCGACTTCGGTCGGAGAGTAGAGTACGGCTAGTTCCTATAGAATAAGGGCAACGAGCTTATAGGTAGCAAAGACGCGGTAGACCGTAGAGTCTAGGTATAACGCTAAAGGCGGTAAGGGAAAAATAGTTTCTATTTATATAGCGTAGAAGTAGTCGAGGTACTTAGAAAACTAGAAGAGATGCGGATTACTTAGACTTAGAAAACTAGGCGGGCGTACTTTGTCTCTTATTGCCGCCCTAAGCTAACTTTCGTATGTTTGCTTTTTTCTAATATTCCCTACCTTAGCTATTTGTACCTTGTCTCTTAGTCTTACTATAGCTAGATATATCGTAATTAAATAGATGTGCCCTACGTGAAATATATAGCGTTATAGTGTTTTTTATAATATATCGCAAAATGCAGATTGCGAATAGGCCTATCGGGTCGGTTAGCGAAACTTTACCTATATTAATTAGCTATAGTAGAAATGTCTAGTAACTGCAGAGTTACAAATATTAGGCGATATCGGCTACTACAATTCCGTAAGCCGTAGAGGAGCTATATTAAAGAGCCTAATATCGGCTGCTATAGTCGTATATATCGAATATCCTAACATCCCTTAGATTACTTTCTATCTAATTATAGCACCTAAACTCCGAACTCCTACGCGTAAGCGTACTTTACTAACGCCTCCGACGATAGTCGTAAGGTAGAGTAAGCGTTCGAAGCGTAATACGCGGTCCTCTACCTTCTCTTCTCTATCGTTACTTACGTATATATAGTATAGCGAAAGGTAGGAAGTTAAAGCATTTAGCGGTCCCGTTAGCTATAACTAGACGCCTTTCTACCGTACTTGCGCGCCTAAAACGGCTCCTACGCTC